GGGGGGGGGGGGGGGGGGGGCGCCTCTTACAATGTGCCATTTGCTGTCAACATTCTAGAGTCCACAGTGAACAAAACAGGCAGATGTTGGTTGTTACAGTTTGGCACTAATCTGAAATTTGATCCTGCTGAAGGCACTGGAAACTCAAAGTGAAAAGGCAGCTCTGTTTAACCCTCTTGGAGTTTTCATGAGGAAAACAGACTATTAACAAGGAAACAAAGAGACTTAATTTCGGATTGTAATAAGGACTTAAAATAAAATGCAGGCCGGGCGTGGTGGTGCACTCCTGTAATCCCAGCACTCAGGAGGGTGAGCCAGAAGACATGTTCAATGCCAGCTGGGACTACATAGCAAGACTGTTTCAGAAAGCTAAAGTAAAGGAAAAGAAAAAGGATAAACGGAGAGGAAGGGGCTGTGGGGTACTATATAACTTATTATGGAGAACTTAAAGCATACACAAAGGGCTACAAAGCCCCTTATGGCCAACCTTCTAACCCCACTCAAATCCAGGGGTGCTCTTATAAGCAGGGAAAGCCTCTCAGGTTGACATCCGTTCCGAGCAAGGAATCCTGAGCACAAGAGCAGTTATTCAAAGATCAGAGGAAAAACCTTTTCAGGCAAAGGGGAGACCAAGATCAAAGGCAAAGAGACTGGGGTGTTTGGGGTGGAGCTAGACATGAGTGGATACAAAGGAGGGTGGGACAGGTCAGAAAGGGAAGCAAGGCCAGAACTCGTGATAGCCCCTGAGGCCATGAGGAGTTTGGATTTTTAAAAAAGGTATAACAGGACTCCACTGAAGAGTTTTGAGTTGCCACTTGACAAAGTCAGTTCTTCCTGGAAGACTGAAATATGAATAGCTTTCTATATTTACCATAAAGCCTGATCTTTTTAAAATTACCTATAGGAGCCTTTCCTTTGTTCTTTCAGTTGTGTGCCTGGCACACTAAATTGCTTTCACTTCCTCAATCAGAGCTTGCATTTCTTTTGCCTCTGGGCATTTGTCCTTCATGTTCCCTTTGCCAGAAAGAGTCCATTCTAGTTGACTCCAGTTCTTACTTGGTTTACAAATCACTTCTCAGGTTGGGGTAGGCGCTTCTTCTGGCACCCACAGCTTCCTATGCTCTCTGTGTATTCCAGGTCTGACCCTTCTAGGTAGTAATCTAATCAGCTGTGGATCTTCTTCCTTTGCCTGGGGTGCCACATTACTGCAGAAAGACTAGTGCTTGCCAGCATACAGCCTGACACATAGGAGATCAATAAACTTACCCTGCTTGGAGGGGTGTGAGGATTGCTAGGGGTCCTGGTCTTCGGGAACTGTCTTGGATGCAAAGTGATTCCCTAAGCCTACTTTGCACTAGTCTGCAGTGCCTGCACGCATGCGCCGTGTTCAAGCAACCCCCCCCATATGCTAATCACTGCGCTCGGGAGTTTGGCCTCGGGAATATGCAAATCACTCCCTTCAGTGCGGGAGGCCTTCCATTGTCCCGCGCTAGGATTATGCAAATAAGCAGCCCTTCAGTCCAAGATCCTGGCCGAGACTCTTCGCCCTCCACCCCCAGAGCATCTCATTTTTATGAGGCTCGTTGCTGTTGCGCGCGCGCGCACGCGCGAGCTCCGCAGCTTCTCCATCCTTCAGGCTGCGGACTGTACCAAGTAAACCCGGGCTGCAACGGGCAAAGCGCGGCAGCACCTCCATGGGTTCCGCTGACAACCCGCCTCGATAGCCCCTTTTTCCTCAGAACGACAGGAACGGTCGGTCGGGCCGCGCAAGCGCCCTCGGCTCCTCATACCCCTTGCTCTCCCTCCTATCCTACTCGCAACGCAGGCGCAGAGCCCGGGCGTGCAGCCGCCACCGCCGAGCCCAAGCTGGGGCCGCCAGAGCCGGTGAGTGTCCCGGGTCGGGGTGCGCGGGGCATTCTGGGAAGCGGGCGCTACGGCTCCGCTGCATGATGGGAGTGGCGGCCGCCCTCACCCTGTAGAGGGCAGAACTCTGGCTCTTCTCTCCCCTACGCGGCTCCATACACTTTTAGGGGCATACTGGGAAAACCCAGTACTGCCTTACGACATTATGGGAGTCGGCCTGCCAGACGTTATATATGCATTCTGGGAAGGATTAACCTAGTTCCTTTGGGGGCCTGGCCCCTTTTGTCACACACCTGGAAGCTTGGGGCGCTTCTGTGTGCAGGGCGTTTAGGAAGATGGTCGTTATAGGCTCGGGGCATCCTGGAAAGAATCGCCGAAAGGCATTATGGGAACTGGTCCTTATTGTCTTGTATAGGGTTTTGTCCTGGTCTATTTGTCCCGGCATTGTGAGAACAGTGCTTGCTGTCACACGGGCCATCTTGGGAGTTGGTTGCTATTTATTTGTTTTATGATAGCGAGAGAGCTGCATTTATGTTCCTCTAAGATCATAGGAACCGTTCTGGCCACCACAGGTGTTGTAGGGGTCGGATTTATGTACTAAAGGATGCCTCCACCTGGTGTCTGAAGAATCCTTGTGTGAAGACGTAGGGTGGGTGGGTGAGCATTGTCTCCAGGTGACCTTATAGGAAGTTATGATTGCCCCGGGTGTATAGTTACCAGATAGAATACAAAATGCTTAGTTAAATGTGAATGTCAGGTAAATAAAAATCTTTTAGAAAAGTAAATCCCGAATGTTGCATGAAACTTACATATATTATTTATTTTTAACTTTTTTTTTTGAGACCGGCCTTGCTATGTAATTCAGGCTGGCCTTGAACTCGTGTAGCCCAGGCTGGCCTCCAACTCGGTGAGCCTCGAGTGCTGGGATGACAGGAATGCACCACTACACCCAGTTTACATATATTATTTCTTGTTTATCTAAACTTAAAATTTAACTGCGAGTCCTGTTTTTATTTGATGAATCTGGCAATCTTACCCAGGCATAAGGTAGAATTCCCACATTAGATGAGGCCCTACATGTAAGTGTATCATCAGAACTCTTCTCTGCCAATTTGAATTCACTCTGTCCTTAAAAGCCCAGATCCAAGTGTCTTTAGGAAGTTCCCCTGCCAGTGATGCCAGCTCTGTTCATGCTCCATCCTTTTTCTCTTAAGTCCCCAGCACTGCACTCGACCTGTGGGCCTTGAAGACCTCTTGTATTTTCTGCTATTGTATTCCTAGTGCCCAACTCAGGTCTTGACAGCCCCTTCACTGCTGTTTTCCATCAGGGAGTACAACAATGTCAGCCAGAAGTGGGGTGTGTGTGTGTGTGTGTGTGTGTGTGTGTGTGTGTAAGAGTCCACTGGGAAAGAGGGAGAGAAGGCAGGGGAATCAGGGAAGGCTTCCTGGGAGAGGCAGAGGGAATATTTGGGCTGGGAAGAAGTACAGATATCCTTACATTTGTGGTGGGCTTTAAAGAGTGAAAAGGAGTTCTCCAGGAAGAGAAGGAAGAAGAGGCCGTTCCAGACAGCAGTAGCAGGGTATACTATATTCCCTCAGAATGTGAAAGTCCAGGTGTGCATGAGGAGAGGCAGGAAGTCTGGAATGGCTGGAGTTTATAGGAAGGTGGGGAGGGATTAGTTAACAGCCCCCGTTTGTGGAGTACCTGCCACATACCAGCAGATTATACAGAGGAGCCTACTTGATCTTCAAAACACCTTTTGAGCTGAGAGATCATTTTAGGAGGGGTGGGATTGTAGGGAACAGGGAAAGGGGACATTACTAGAACCTCTGCAGTAAATCCTAGTCTCCTGCGAGCCACGGCAGCACAAGGCGAATTACAGGAAGGGTAGGAAAATGAGACTGAGAAGAAGCTGAACTTCTGGCCTGATCAGTGCTGCCCTCAGCGGCAAAGAGGAAAGCCCCCAGTTTACTGCACCTTTTATTCAGTACATCAGGAGAAACAAATGTAACAAATGACCTGCAGAGAGTTCAGTACATCAGCATTAATAAGATGTAACAATCCAAGAACAATGAGGAACTGAGTAGATGTTTGTTCCTCCCAGGATGTTTTCAGCTGGTGTAATTTTGTCCTGGGAAATCACAGCATCACTGGATCATTGAGGTCTCAGTTGTGACTGGAGGCCAAAATGGAATTATGTCTCAGAATTCCATAGCTGGGCTGTAGGCAGAACTAAGCTAACCAAATGATTTTTCCCTAAAATTATGTAGCATTGCTCCCGACATAGGAAGACATGGCTTCAACCACCTACCAGATGGTTTGACCTTGGGCTACCTTGTATCTTCTCTGCACCTGTGCTTCCTCACCTGTACAAAGGAGGTACTGTCTCTAACAGGGCTGTGAGGAGAGCATGAGTCAAGGCCCAGAAGCCCCTTTCCTATAGAGTGGAAAACAAGGCTGGAGAGCTTTGGTCCTTTGCTTGAAGCTGCACAGCTAAACGTCCACAGATTTAAGAGTCAAGCCTAGACCCTATGTTCCCAGTTGAAACAGAACTAAGAGAACTAACAGAACTGACATTCATGAACGAGTGTGGCCATACCCATTGTTTAAAAATTAAAATGTTTCTAGATTGTTGGTAAATCCCTGCTGTACCAAGTGTTCCACATCCCTAACCCACACTGCATCCTCTCCCAGTCCCAGACTTACTCACAACCCAGCATCTAAAGGGTTGATGCCTGGCACAGGCCCCCATTCCACTTTTTTACTTTTTTAATTTTTTTAATTTTTCAGACAGTGTCTTGCTGTGTAGCCCAGGCTGGTCTTGAACTCTTGACAATCCTCCTGCCTCACCCTCCTGAGTGCTGGGATTATAGGTATGGACTATACCATGCCTGGCTCTGTATTCTGGGTTCTGATTGGTGCCCATGCCAGTACCTACTGTTAAATATTTGGAGTGTCTGGCAGGGTATGGTGGTGCAGGCCTGTAATCCCAGCCCTCAGGCTGAGGCAGGAGAATCACCACGAGTTTGAGGCCAGCCTGAACTACATAGTGGGATTCTGTCTCATAAAACCTAAATAAAAAGGACCAAAAAGTAGTCTTGTTGCCTAGATGGGGAAGCCTAGGCATACCAAGGGCCAAGGCCTCTCAGTGAGGGCATGTAGGTTGTCTGAGATGGCTGAGGCCATCTTTTTCTCACCCTTAGCACTGACATACAGCTAGGCTTGGAGTGCGGATGAGTGCTTTGTAAAAATTTGTCGAGTCACCACAGGCCTTTCCTTTCCCCGTCCAGCATCCTTCTCTACCTGCCTACATCCTGTATTAGAAGAGCTTGTTGCTGGAGGTGTGACTGTGGAGAGCTGGCCAGAGAGGGACGCTGCCCAGCTGCTGCTCTACTCCTATCTCCTGTCCCTCCACTGGCCATGACAGAGACCCGTGAGCCAGCTGAGACTGGGGGTTATGCCAGCTTGGAAGAAGAAGATGAAGACCTTTCCCCAGGTAAGATGGCCTTGGAGGTAGTGTTGGCTTGACTATCATGGCTCAGGGTTTGGGCTGCACTGGGAAGTCGTGATGGGGAGTGGCTCCTTGTCTTGCTATGGGTTCTTTTCTGACTGGAACTCCTTGAGCTGCTAGATTTCTTCCCACTGAAACTCCTAGGCATTGTAGATGGATTGGGATCTCTCTCCTTGCTGGGAGTTCTAGATTGGCCAAGGCCTCCCTCCCTGCTGAGGGTTCTAGATTGGCTATGATCTCTTTTCTTGTTGGAGACTCTAGAACAACTGTGGTCACTCTCAGTGCTGGAGGTTCTAGATTCACTGTGACCTCTCTCCTTGCTGAAGGTTCTAGATAGTCTTGCATGACCTCTCTTTGCCAGAGGTTCCAGATTGGGTGTAGCCTCTCCGCTTGTTAGGTGTTCTCCACTGTCCAAATTGGCTATTATCTCTCTCCTTGCTGGGGGTTCTAGATTGTCTTGTATGATCTCTCTTCTTGCTGGTGGTTCTAGATCGTCTTGTATGATCTCTCTCCTTGCTGGGGGTTCTGGATCTGCTGTGATCTCTCTCTCTTTGTTGAAGATTCTAGATTGGCTGTGACCTCTTTCCTTGCTAGAGGTTCTAGATTGGCTGTGATGTCTTTCCTTACTGGGGGTTCTAGATTGTCTTGTATTGTCTCTCTCCTTGCTGAGAGTTCTAGATTTTCTTGTATGATCTTGCTCCTTTATGGGAATTCTAGATTGTCTTGTATTATTTCTCTCCTTCCTGGGGGTTCTAGATCTGCTATGATCTTTCTCCCTGTTGGAGATTCTAGATTGACTGTGACCATTCTCCTTGCTAGCAGTGCTAGATCGGCTATGATCTCTTTCTTTGCTGGCACTTCTAGAATGGCTATGGCTTCTTTCCTCACTGGAGGTTCTAGACCAACTGTGACTTCTTTCCTTTCTAGGGTTTCTAGATTGGCTTTGTGTTCTCATCTGGCTAGGAGTTCCCTTCCGGGTACGGCTCCTTGCCCTACTGTGACTTCTCTTCCAACTGTGACTTCTTGCCTTTCTGGGGGTTATAGACCCACTGTGACTTTGGGTTCTGCTGGGGGTGCTAGCCTGGTCATGACCCTTGGCCCTGTTGGACACCTCCGTTGGACTGTAACTCCGCTTGCATCTGGGGGCCATCATCTGACTGTAACTGTTCACTTTCCTCAGTGACTTTGGAGATTGGGTGTAACCTTTCTCCTCGAAGGGTCTTCTGGTTGGGCTGTAACTCTTTGCCCTCCTGGGGGTTGCAGCCAGCTTGGAACTACTCCCTGTACCTGACACTCCCGGTGGGCTGTAACTCTTTTCCCTGCTCACAATTCTAGGCTGGCTGTCATTCCTTTCCCAGCTGTTGGTTCCAAACTGGCTGTAACTCTTGCCCTCGCTCTGTTTTTTCTGGGAGGTAGGAGTTCTCACCCTTTTGGCCATGCCTGGTCCAGCCTCATGAGTTCGTATGCTTCGGGAAGTGCTGGCCCTGCTGGGTGACCCCCAGGAGCTCCGGTGTCTTCTCCCTGGAGTTCGGCCCCGGCTGTGTGTGCCTCTGCCAGTGGTGTTTTGCATCTCTGGCTTTGCTGGCTTCACTGGTCCTGGTGTCGGTGCTGGCCCTGGTGTCTGTGCTCACCCTGCTGGGTGTTCTTGCTTTGCTATGTGCTTGGGACCTGCTGCTGGAGCGCTTCGAAGGGGCTGTCTTTGTATTTGCTGATTTGGTGGACTTGGAACTGCTCGGGCTAATGACTGAGTTAGGGGACATCGATGACTTGGGGGGCATTGAGGAGCTGTTGGGGATTGCTAATTTGGCGGTCTTCAAGGAGGCAGGAGGCGTGGGAGCCTTGGCAGACATGGAGGGTCCGGTGGAAGCTGAAGCCTGGCTGGGCTTTGAGGCTCTCTTAGGTAGAGAAGGCATGGTGGACGCAAACGGACTTGCAGCCCTGGAAGTCATGGAGGTTGTGGGAGAGTTGGTAGCCACGGACAGTGACCTGACTACCTGTTCCAGACCAACTGTGTGAAGTCATAGTGGGTACTGAAGCCCCTGGAGGGTGGGTAGTGTGAAGTCAGAGGTGGGGGTGGGGGGCTGCAAAGTCACTGAGGAAAGTGAACAGTTACAGTCAGATGATGGCCCCCAGATGCAAGCGGAGTTACAGTCCAACGGAGGTGTCCAACAGGGCCAAGGGTCATGACCAGGCTAGCACCCCCAGCAGAACCCAAAGTCACAGTGGGTCTATAACCCCCAGAAAGGCAAGAAGTCACAGTTGGAAGAGAAGTCACAGTAGGGCAAGGAGCCGTACCCGGAAGGGAACTCCTAGGCCAGAGATGTTTCCTCCTTTTGGGTCCTTCAGCAAACATGCTCCAAGCCAGACTTGCCTCAGCATTTCAGGGGCTGTGGAGATGGGACAAGGCCCTGCCGGGAGGAGTCTCCAGACCTAGATGGTCACTACTACGGATGGTCGGGGTGCAATGGAGCCCAGATGAAAGGGAAGCTCGGAGGAGAGAGACTCCAACCACCTGGTGTGAGGTCAGGCAGGACTTTGCAGAGGAGGGGATATGTGAGCTGCTCCTTGAAGCGGGGGAGCAGGAGTTGCTGGTAGAGCAGGAAAGGGTCCCTGTGGGGAGCTGCAGAGGGAACCGCCTGGATAGGGCATCAGAGCCTGGGCCCCTGGCGGTCATTGGCCCCCATGTCCTCTGCTGGGAGTGGTGAGACCCCGAGGTCAGAGCTGCCCTTGACGAGCTCTGGTCTGACTGGAGAGATGTGCAGGGACCCAGAAAGCCACAAACTCCAGGACAGTGATGGGGGCCTGCTGGGGTGAGGACAGCCAGGGCAGAGGGACTGGGGAGAGACGCTTGGCTGGGGGCTGGGGGCTGGGGCATCAGGGTGGTGGCTTCACTGAGTACGGAGCTCATGCTGGATCCTGAGGATGGACTGGAGCGGCAGGTGGACAGGGGAGGACAGCGTTCCAGATGGGGGCCACACACACCAGCATCTCAGAAAATGTTTGCTAGATGGTGGGGAGACACAGGATGGACAGACACAAGTAAGGGGCAGCAAGAGTGGCAGGGAGGGCTGTTCAGCAAACGTTTATGACCTGTTCTTGGCTGGTGAGGCGGGGAACCCAGGGATTAAGTCCGACCAGGCCTGTCCCCCCTGGTCTGGTGGCCAAGGAACCTGGACACAGATGCCACAGCCCTGGGGGCTCGGAGCTGGGACAGTGGGAGGGTAAGAGCAAAAGTGACTGGCTGCCTGAGATGTCTGGGACAGTGGCGCCAAGAAGGGGGCTCCCACCTGGGTGCTAAAGGAAAAGCAGGGCCGGACATTCACAGTGGAGAGGAACAGCACACGGGGAGGCCTCCGCGAAGGGATCTGTCAAATTGAAGGCAAAGAGACTCGATCCACAAAGACACAGGCACAAAGTGTGCTAGAGGCGAGGACCACTACAGTGAGCCAGGGTCCTTGCTCTGGGACAGGCCATAAGCGCGCCCATGAATCAGGCTAGGAGAGAAAAAGATCAGGCAGATTAACGGGTGCAGGGAGTACTAGGGAGGGCCTGCTGGTCAGACAGAGTGGCCAGAGTGTCACTGAGAAGGTGACTCTTGCAGAGGCATAGAGGAGAGGCGGGAGCAAGCTTGGTCTATCTGCAGGAAGGTGATGCAGGCTTGGGGTTTTGAGAGATAGTGAGGAGCCCACTGTGGCTGATGAGAGGCGCCAGAGGGCCTGTGGCCACTGTAACATGAGTGAGGGCAGAGCACTGGTGCCCTGGCTGGCTCAGGACACAGGGTCCCTTGGGCTGCTGGAGGACATGGAGGCTGGGGGCCCAGTGGATGCAGGGGGAGGCCACTGTGGTCCCACAGATGCTTTCAAAGCCTGTGTCCCCTCGATGACGGTGCTCTGTGTGCACCCCACCAGCCTGACTGTGGATGGCGCCCTTTTCTGTACACTGACTGAATTTTTCCTTTGTTTGCAGTACTTGGATGAAACCCAGGGCCTTTGCACTGAAGCTGCATACCCAGCCCTTGTGTTTTGGGGGGGTTTTTTTGAGACAGGAACTTGCTAAATTGCTTTGGCTGGACTCAAACTTTTGGTCCCCTTGCTTTAGAGCACTGGGATTGCAGGTGTGCACCACCATGCCCAGTGTCCCCTTTTTCTTAAACTTGTCCTAGGCATGTCCTTTATACTCATGAAATCATAGTTATGTATCTATACTTATAAGTAAAATATTTTAATTCACTCTGCATATATGACCACATATATCAAAATACATATTTATGAAGACATGTTTTAATTTGCTTAATTTACCTTTTGAAATGTGTTTTCCTGAAATGATCCAGTGTCAGCCACTGGCAAGTAGCTCTTTATGTTAGAGTTTTGTGGTTGAAGGTGAGTGAGTTGTCTTTTTCTTTTTTTTGCTTTTTGAGACAGAGTCTTGCTTTGTAGTGCAAGATGCCCTTGAACTCACTGTTATAGCCTAGGTTGGCTTCAAACTTGCAGAGATCCTCTTGCTTCAGCCTCCTGAGGGACAGGATTACAGGTGTGCACCACCGCGCCAGGCTGAATGAGTTGTCTTAACTGCTTGAGGTCTTAGATTCCACATTGGTCAAGGGGGATGACAGTAGTACCTCCCTCCAAGGGTTGTTGTAAGGGTTAAGTAGGTTAATGTATAAGGATGGCTTTTCAAGCCTCAGTGGATGCTGTCATCATGTGCTAGCCCCACCCCCACCCAGCTGCAGTTCCTGCTGGACATTTGTTTGCTGGAGACATGGGTTCAGGGCATCTGCTGTGTGCCAGGCAAGGTCTGGGGCTGAGGACTGGTTTGTGGGGAAGGAAGGCTGTGGGCTGTCTTCACACCAGAGTCTCAATGGGGCTCAGGAAGGGAACATCTGGGCAGAGTCCTCTGTCCTCTGACGCCGCTTTCTCCCTTCATCTGTCCCAACAGGCCCCGAGCATTCCTCTGACTCCGAATACACTCTCTCAGAGCCAGATTCCGAAGAGGAAGAAGATGAAGAGGAGGAGGAAGAGGAGACCACTGATGATCCCGAATATGACCCGGGCTACAAGGTGAAGCAGCGCCTTGGTGGGGGTCGGGGAGGCCCATCCCGCCGGGCCCCCCGTGCAGCCCAGCCCCCGGGCCCTGCGGCCCAGCCCTGCCAGCTCTGTGGCCGGTCACCGCTTGGGGAGGCCCCACCAGGCACCCCACCTTGCCGGCTTTGCTGCCCTGCTGCAGCCCCCCAGGAAGCACCAGCCCCTGAAGGCAGAGCCCTTGGGGAGGAAGAGGAAGAGCCCCCTCGGGCTGGGGAGGGCCGACCAGCTGGGCGAGGGGGGGAGGAGGAAGAGGAGGAAGAGGAGGAGGGCACCTACCACTGTACTGAGTGCGAGGATTCCTTCGATAACCTCGGGGAGCTGCATGGCCACTTCATGCTGCATGCCCGGGGTGAGGTGTAGGTAAAGCCCCCCAGCCAGGGAGCATAGCAGAAGGGGTGGGGTGGGAGAAGGGCACTAGGAAGTGAGAGTGGTCACAATGGTCATGGGGGCTGGGGTACTGCAGGTCTGTGTTGTCTTAGCAGTAGATGTTCGAAGGCCGGAATAAAAGCCACATTCCGAGAGTGTTGGTCCAGTGTGTGTTTGTGGCGGGGGGGATCTGAACTGTGCTCCTGGGCTTCTCCTTGGCACCTCAGGATCTTTTTTTTTTTTTTTTTTGGTACCGGGGATTGAACTCGGGTCCTTGCACTTGCGCAGCAGGCGGCAAAACCACTGAGCTAAATTGCCGGCCCAGCACCTCAGGATTTTGAGGCCAAGAGAACTAACATTTATAGTCAGGCATGGTGGCCCACGCCTGCAATCACAGTACTTTGGGAGGCTGAGGCAGGAGGATCACAAGTTTGGCCTTACGCTGGGCATCTTAGTGAATTAGTAAGATCCTGTCTCAAGTCAAATTTTTTTTTTTTTAGGTACCAGGGATCGAACTTGGGTCGTTGTGCTAGCGCAGCAGGCGGCAAAAGCACTGAGCTAAATCCCTGGCCCACAACTTAGTAACTAGACCCTGTCTCAAAATAAAAAAGTGCTTTTAAAAAGGGCTGAGGATAGGCTGGGCCTGGTGTTGCATGTCTCTAATCCCAGCACTCTGGAGACTGAGGCAGGAGGATCGCTGAGAGTTCAAGGCCAGCCTGAACTATATAGTGAGACCTGTCTCAAAAAAACCAAAAGGGGGATGGTGCTGAGGATGCAGGTCAATGTGAAGGCCATGGGTTCAATCCCCAGTACCACAAAATAGAAAGACAGGATAGAAGGAAGGAAGTAAAGGGGGAAGAACTGTTCTGAGAGGTTGCAATTTTAAAGCATGTAGTCCAGGGCTGGGGATTTAGCTCTGGTTCCGCCACCTGCCTTGCAAGTGCAAGGTCCCAAGTTCGATCCCCAGTACCAAAACAGACCACAAAAAACAAATAAAGCATGTAGTCCTCTGAGAAGGTGACAGACTTGCAGAAGGGGCATCAGAGCCATAGATCTGGAAGTGCCTGAGGAGGGCTGAGCTAGCTGTAAGAACATGAAGGGAGGGCAGAGAGCTGAAGAGGTCACCTTGTCACGGCCATGCCACAATGCGAAAGTACTAATAGAGGCTTGGCACTGAAGCCTGATGGTAATGATAGCTCCCATCTACTGAGCATTTACCGTGCCAGGCCCTGTTCTCAGGTGCTTTATGTGTGTTAATGCACTGAAGCTTGGCAACTCAGAGCCTTCAAGAATAGGACCTGAATTACTGTAATGGCATCATTAAGTCAGTGCACACAGCCCGAAGGCCCTGGGCTAAGTGCTTTCTGTGGACAGAGGCATGGGATCCTTACAAGGTGGGGCGGTTACTGATATACTCCTTCATTCAGCACCGATTTATTGAGTGCTCACAAGGTGGTCGGCACTGTCCTGCAGCTGGGACTGCAGCAGTGAACACAATGAATAACAGTCCTGCTTTTGTAGAGGTTTTACCCTGGGAAAGATCAGCAGATATTTAAGTAAAACATACAAAATGTGTGGGGTGTTAGAAGGTAAGCAGCGGTGTGGAGAGGGAGGGAGGAAGGGGGTTGGGAGGCTTGGGGGGGTTGCTGTTTTCGACACGGGTCAGGCCACCGAGAAGGTGACATCAGAGCAGGACCTGGGGGGAGGGAGGGAGTGGCCTGTGGCTGCCCTGGGAGCACCCAGTGCAAATGTCTGGATGGGAGCCTGCTTGGGACATCTGTAGAGGCGCATGTGGAGCCACAAGGCTGGAGCGGTGGAAGGCATGGGGTGGGCTGGCGGGAGGTGCGCAGACAGGAGTGGGGCCAGGTTAAGTCATTCTTTCCACCTTGGCTTCCTCTCCATCCCCGTAGCAATCCTGAGAGGTGGAGGGGCTATTTTCAGGGCCATCTTACAACTACTACAAAAGCACAGAGAAGTTGGGTTACCTGCTGGAAGTCACACAGCCTGTAAGAAACAGTCCAGGTTTGCATCCAGACAACTGGACGCGGCATACATTCTTACCATTAAGCCACACAGCAGAGGTAGCAGTGTGGCTGCCCACAGCTACCATCTGATATTTACAGGGTGTCTCTGATCTCCCACAGAGATACTAAGGTTTTTAAGACCACGTTGATTACCAACACTGAAAAATGGGTAATTTCACATAAAATAATAATTTGTCAGAACTGAGTAGAGGCCACTTCTACAGATGGAGCATTCACAAGGGTTCCCAGTCCAGACCCCTTGCCTGCTTGGTGCTAAAGAATATTTGCAGTTGTAATACCTGTTACAGGATCTTAGGCCAAAATGTCTTTCAAAGCCCACTTTCCACCCCAGAGTTGCAGAACCTAACATTTATCTACTCTTTAAAATGGAACTTCCATAACCACTATAGCTGAGCATTACAGAATCTCTTAAGCATCAAAGCAGAGATGCGCGTCTTGTGCAAACAAGACAGTGTGCTGCTGTAACAGACCCCCTGAGACTGGCTACTCCATACACAATAGAGATGTATTTCCCTCAGTTTAAGAGATTGGGAAGTCCAAGATCAAGGCGCCATCAGATTCAGCGTCTGCTTCCACTATGGTCACTTCCTGCTGTGTCCTCATGTGGTGGAAGAGATGGAAAGACAAAAGGCCTAGCTAGTCCCCTCAAGCCGTTACAGGATATTTCATCCCATTCAGAGTCCTCATGACCTAGTCACCTCCTAAAAGCCCTGGCTCTTATCACACTGAGATTGGGCTCCTGGCACATGAGCATGGGGGGACATATTCAAACCATAGCACATTTATAGTGTGATTGTGAGTTTTTTGTTACCCAGGGCAGTCATGCTAACCTCGCTTCTGCCACAAGATAGAGATTCCTAAGCACAGATGGGGAGAATTGCTGATCCACCAGCAGATAAGAAACCAGGACTCAGGACCCTGGTCTCCTGCCCATTGGCTTAGTCAGTAGCCAGTCGGAATGGATGCCACGCTGGCCACTCCACTGAGTACAGTGAACGGGATGTACAGATGGTAGAAGACTTGAAAATGCAAACTTAGGAAAGTGAGGCAATCCAAAAATCAGTGTGTGCAAGAATCCACACCCACTCTAGGACTGACTGGGATATAGCAGACCCAGTAGGAGCCTGAAGGACAGGCCAAGTGCCATGGTGCAGGAGCCAGTGACCAGGTGCCATGTGGCTGGTGCTTAAATCTCAGGAGGAGCATGGTGCCTGCTATGCGGAGAGTATAGTAAGGTACTAGAGTCCGAGCGGCTGGAGGTGGGGTACCTCTGCCCGCTCCTCCCATACCATTCTAAGCAAGGTCAGTCCCTGGCCCTCTCTTCTCTCCTTCCATTCTGTACCTTTCAAGCCCAGAACTTAAGGAGGTCAGTTCTCGAGGGAGTCTGGGAAACAGTTTGCAGAAAGGCTCAGCATCATAGAGCCATGTGGAAGGCTGCGCCTGTGGCTGACTAGCTAACAACCGGAAGGCAGTGAGTACTTTTTGAGCTCCCATCCTACCCTAGGCCTGGGGATGAAGCAGAGAGGGTCTGAGGCCCCACCCTTCCCATCCTTAAGAGCTTGGATCCTAGTGTAAGGACACAGATAATTGCATCAACTAAAATGCGGTGGTGCTGGGGGCTGAAGAGTGCCGTGAAGACAGGAAAGGGCAGAAGGGCCCTCGGGCCAAGCAGGCTGAGGGGAGTTCTCTTAGCAAGTGGCACATGTGGAGACCTGAATGATGAGGTAGGCTTGCAAAGTTCTGGGGCTAAGAACACCCCAGAGGAAGCAGCAAATACCAAAGTCCTGAAGCAGAAGCCAGCCTGGCAGGTATGGCTGGAATATAGTGAAGACAGAACAGGGAGGGAGTTGACTGCTTCATGGGCTGGGGCAAGGTCTTTGGGTGTTATTTATGGGGTACCATTGGAGGGTCAAGAGGGGGGACTGACGTGGCCTGGTTTACAGTGGTCTGTATTAGAGACAAAGGAGGCAGGAAGGCATCAGGGCAGCAGTTAGGAAACTAGGGCTACAGCTGGGTGAGGAGTCAGACTCCAGAACTCAGCATTCACTAACAGGATGGCAGATGACCAGGCCAGGGGCTGCAGGGGTCGCAATGATCCACTTTAAATTTGAGATTTCCATTTGTCATCCACACAGGTGTACCCCATGTCTGGGGTTTGAGCTGGAGGTAAAGATTTGGAAAGCAGCCAGGTATGATGGGTAACACCTGTAATCCCAGCACTCTAGGATGCTGAGGCAGGAGGAGCACAAGTCCAAGCAGAGCCTGGGCAACTTAGCAAGATCCTGTCTCAAAACAAAACGGGCCGGGAGTGTAGCTCTGCATGAAGGCCCTGGTTTCAATCCCTAGTACCGAAGGAAAAAAAAATGGAAGCCACCAGTGATGCCATCTAAGTCTTAGGAATCTGAGGAATGCAGAGAGAAAAGGAAGCCTCCAGTGTACTTGGGCAGGTCATTCACTTAGGAGAATATGTGGGATTAGATTCTCAGGTTTGGAAGTGGGGGAGCCACTGAAGGGGTGGTGTGGAAACATCTGGGTCAGAAACTTGTGGGCTTTTACCACAAGAAGTATTTGGTGAAGTCGATATCTTAGAAAAAATGATGGCCAATTAACTCCAAACCTGTTGCCCATTAAGTTCCCCTAAAAAGGAGTTCCAAATCACACATGCACACACATGCATGCATGCACACACACATACACACCTGCTAGAGGTAGTGTTTTTCAGAATAGCAATTCTTTTTCCAGATTCAGAGTATGTCTGAGGAGAGGGGAAAGCTAGCAGGAGTCTTCAGTTAGAGGGTTGACAGACTTTTACTGTAAAGGGCCAAATGGCTTTGTAGGCTGCAATGTCTCGGTTGCAACTACTCAGATATGTTTGGTGTGAAAGCAGCTGCAGGCAAAAAAATGTATGAATGAACCTGCATGTTCCAATTAAAACTTAGTTTGCAGACTCCTGCCTTACACTATAAATTCTGTGTCATGTGACAGAGACCCAAAGTAAAGGTGGCTTAAATAAGAGAGGTTTATTTCTCTTGGGTAATGGTGCTGAAGTGGGCTGGTATGAAGTGGTGTGTGAGGCTGACCAGAGACCCAGGCTCCTGCTACCTTGTTGCTCTGCCATCTCATATGTTGGTCTTGTCCTCATGGTCCGAGATGACTGGGTGCCACACCTACACTCCAGTTAGGTAAAGGAGAGACATGTCCCTTTCCCAGGGTTGAGGATTCTACCCAGGAAATCAGTCGTAAAGTGGTCATACCTAGCTGCAAGGAGTCTGGGAAATGTAGTCCTTTTACTTACTACCATGTGCCTAACAAAATTGAGAGGCAGCTGTCAGTTTCTACTATATTCATCTCAACTGTGGGCTTAAAAAAAAAAAATTCTCCAATCTGAATAGAGCCTGTGAGCATTTTATGTAGGACATCAGCCTTTGTCTCTAGGTACAACACAGCAGGTAGTGTTAGGGAGTAAAGCAGGCCTGGTGGGTCTCATCTCCTGTCAGGATGACACCTGCGGCTCACCTCTAGTTTGGAGCTTCTGCTGTGCTGACCTTGTAAGCCCTGAGTCAGGCCTTTGAGAGAGCTAAAATAGGATTGTAATGGGAGATCTTCCAGTGTTGGCCAAATAAAACATGGAACAGAAGGTATCTCTGCTTGATACCAAACTAGTTTCCCTATAGGGCTAGGCCAACTCTGCCCTGCCCTCCCTCCACCCCATATCTTTATGTTATTTAGCGCTCCCCACTAAAAGCCAGAGCTCCCTGCTTAGACATTTGAATATGGATGTTTTGTTTTTAGATACTATTTCCATGAGCTTGTTTATGCCATCTCTACATGGATAAAAAAACATTAAGTTAAAAAAAAAAACAAAAAACATTAAGTAGAGAAGGCTGGCAGGGAGTGGGAGGAAGACAAGAACCCGAATCGCAACCCCTGTGTGACTTGGGGTCCAGCACCCAGCCTTGCTGTCCCATCCCCAGAGGCTCATGTGGCTCCAGGTCTGGAACTTAGGCAGCAGCTTTGTAGGCCAGCAGCACCTGCCCTCCCTGCCCCCTACTCAGGCACAGATCCAGGGCAGTTTGCTCTTGTGGCCCATGGTATCTGTCAGGGTAAACTGAAGGTGATTACATGATCGGTAGCTGGTTATTTAACTGGGAAAAAGGAAACCAAAAAGTTTTCCTCTTGCTCTTTCTTGCTCATTTTCTAAAACAAAGAGCTTACAATTATTTGATTTCACTGTATCTCGAAAGACCCTGTGTCCTCCAACGACTGAAGCTCTAAATGAGAACCTTCTGAGTTCTATCTATCAAGAGCCCTTTGCCTTCCCAGGGAGGAGAGTAAATCCCTGTAGGGCCCCCTGAAGGCCTGTGCCTCCTGTCATGCGTGGGTCCCACCAGCCTCAGAGCCCCCATCACTGTGGAGGGCACTTCAGTTACACTCAGAGCTCTCCCCGAGCATGCCGAATGTAGTGCTGATGGAGCCCGGCTTCCTGGGCGAAGTCCTGACCACACTCAGTGCAGGCAAAGGGGCCAGGAGGGCTGCAGGCCTTGTGTACCTGGCGGTGCCGCTTCAGAGAGGCCACCTGCCCAAAGGCCTTGCCACAGTCAGGACAAGGGAAGGGAGCCTGGGCCATGGTCGGTGCATCCGGCAGGGAGGGCCTGGTGCCTAGACCATGGCTGCGCTGGTGGGCGATCAGGGCCTTGGAGGAGGGGAAGGATCGGGCGCAGGTGAAGCAGATGAAGAGGGCTCCCTGTAGCTTCTGAGCCACGAAGTCCGCTGGGTGTTCCCGCTTCATGTGACGCTCCTGGAACTTGGAATCGGCGAAGGTGATGAAGCAGTGGGTGCACTGCGGGGCCCCTAGGTGGCCTGCGGGATGTGGGGAGAGGTCGGGGGAGGCCAGCAGGAGTCTCCAGGACCTCCCAGGCCCCAGCATCATGTCAACAATGCTTTGTGCTCTAGGCTCACAAGACTGCTGCTGGATAATGGCACAAAACTTTATTGGACCTAATTTATAGGTGAGCAGAATGAGGTTCTGAGAGGTCAGGCAAGTTGCCCAGTCATGAGGCCTGGACATGAAAAGGTGAAGCCAGGACCGGAACCCAGAGAGTCTGGCCAGCAGACACCAGTCAGACTAGAATATGGCTGAGGACTGAACCCCAGCTCCACCACTTCCTACGCAAACTAGTAGGACAGCTTCCTCATCTGGAAAATACCAGTATCTACTCCAAGGGTTGTTGGGAGGAATAAGTTAATTTATATAAGTGCTTAGGGCAGTGTTGTACAGTATCTGCAATTATTACTATCGAGGCAGGAAAAGCAACCAGACATCTGGAAGCTGAGCTGATAAAGCTAGGCCTTGGTGTTCTTCTATTGAACATAATCAGTTTAACAGAATGCCACAAAAATGATCAGCCACCCCCCTACCTTGGCTAACAGGAGTGACTGCTGCTCCAGCAGTCCCAGCTTGAGCTCTTTTCTTCCCGCACTCTACATAGGATTTATTAAGATAGCCAGTCAGAGACTTGTCCCTGCCTCCGGGCACAGCCCTCTTTCTTTGAACCCTCATTCAAATTACCACAGCCAATTCAAAATCCTATAAAGCCTTTTTAATACTCTCTTTCTGAGAAATCCTCAGTTCCCCTGCGGTATTACAATGAGCAATAAGCCCAACTTGTTCAAGGCAGGTGTGTTCCTAGCGGCCTGGCTGGAAGCACTGACACTATGGTTCTTGTTAAAAATTCCTAACCTCTCAGGGCTGGGGATTTAGACCAGTGGTTCCACCACCTGCTTCGCAAGTGCAAGGTCCTGAGTTCAATCCCCGGCACACACACAAAAAAAGAACAACAACAAAAATTCCTAACCTCTCTTTACCTCATTCCCTCACCTTAAAGTAAGCACCAGTTACACAGGGTCTGTTATTTAGGGAGACTGAGAGCATGCATGTTAGTCATTCAGAATATGAGAATGAATGTCTCTAGCATACAATAAGCTAGTAGGAGCTGCTGCTGCTACTTAAATCCAACAGGTTACTTTCATTCACATCAAGCTGTCCCTTTTTTTCAGCCAATTTCAGGGAAGCCCTGCAAGATGGATAGTGGCAGTGTCTTTTGACAGGCAGGGAAACTGAAGTCCAGTCACACTTAGAGTCTAGGGGAGCTGTTGGGACCAAAACCCTGGGGCTTGTCTCCCAGAAATATTCCCAGACATGTTTCCAATCCAAGCCTTTCCAGGAAGCCGCCCTCCCACTCTGAACTGCATCACATATCCCTCTGTGGCCGGGCCAGGGTGAATGCATCTGGGTATAAGGGTGAGGAGGGGCACTGCCGTTCCTAGCAGAGCAGCAGCACCTTCCTAGCAGACAGGGCCCCGGCGCACTAGACACTGAAATGCTACACAGGTTCCCTCGAGATCGCTCCCGCACCCACCCTCTTGTAGCCTGCGGTACTCACACAGGTTGCCTCCTGAGCCGCTGGGACTCGTCTCCTTGGGCGAACCTTGCTGTTCCATGTTCGCTTCAGGATGCAGGTCCTCCATGGTGACAGGGACGCCTCTGGTCAAGAGAGGAATATGTACGAGTGAGGCCATGTACTGTCACCAGCCTTAGCGGGCCCGCTAATCCTTTGACTCCCGCGTCACACAATCTGCATGAACTCTGATGGCGCTCTCACCAGAGAAGCCTCAAGCCTCCCAGAAGCTCAGAGTCCCCGAGTTTGATTCTCCTAAGCCTAGGGTCTTCCCCCCAAGTAACTCCCTCAGAGCTTGTGACCCTTGATCTTGACACCATCTTCATCCCACTCTCTCACGTGTCCTAAGACTGGTAGCGGTTCCCACTCTTTAGCTTGCCTTTTCTCGAGGGACATCCTGTGACCCTTGTTCCATCGAGACCCCCGCGTCCCGCTACCCTCAGCACTGCCTTCAGCTCCCTGCTCCAAAAGCTTGTAGCCCAGGCCTCTGCTCTTCTCGGTACACCAGAGGGCTGCCTTTCGCAGTGCCTGTCAGTCGCTCGCGACAGCGCCACCACAGGGCGTAGGATAAGGCCACTGAATCTTGAGCCCTCCCAAGGTCTCCGCTCCCTCTGACCTGACAAACTTCTCAAAGTCGAGGTCACAGATTTCCGCCCGGCAGTAGTAAAGTCACGCCGGTCCGGTCCTCAGACTAATGATGAGGGTCCCTCTCTGCTCTGCGGTGCATTATGATGACGTTTGAGAACCCTCCTGCCGTACAAACCTCAACCTACAGCGTCGCGGCGGGGAGGGGGGCTCCCGATGCGCAGGCGCCTTGGCCCCCTCATTGTTCTAGGCCTGAGGCCGCCCCGGCTGAAAAACGTGAGTGCTTTGGGATTGTTGCACAGCGCAAGATTCTGGGTCTCCCAAGTCGCGCTCCAAGACACACCCCCTCGTTGAGGGAGTGACGTCAGGTTAGAACCACCCGAACGCGTCCCGAAGAGTCTGAATTCCGTCGCTCTGGTGCTTTCGGCCTCCGTCCGCCGGGCGCTAAGGGCGGGGCTCCTCTGCCTGACCGGCCGTCACCAGCTGCGCTCCCAGGGTGTCCTCTCTGCTCGGTTGGTGACTTGGAAGGGGGGAGGGGAGAGCCATCCCCATGTCCCCAAGGGATGAAAGATTGGAGGCCGGATTTTTGAGTTTTTGAAGCGGAAAGCGAAACGCTTGCATCCAGAAAAAGGATGGACAGGCGCCCCGGTTTCCAGGGAATGGGCCCTGGGTACAGGATTTCTAGGTCCTGCAGGGTGACAACCGAGAATGGAAGTAGGAGACAGGATGGAGAACTGAAGCCTTGGTCCAGAGTGGGGCGGCTAGGGAAGAAAACGGCTAGGTGCTCTCTGACTCGTGTCTTCCCCACTCCTTATTTCCAGCAATGCCTCCGCCGCCGGGTGACGTGACAGCCTTGTTCCTGGGGCCTCCGGGCTCAGGAAAGTCCGCGCTCATAGCAGCGCTGTGTGACAAGGATGTGGAGACGGTAGAGATCCCCGAGGGACGACTGGACTCCGGGATCCCCAGCCTGAGAGCGGCGGGCCCCGGCCTCTTCCTCGGCGAGTTGAGCTGCCCACCCGCAGCGCCTGGGCCCTGGGCCGCAGAGGCCAACGTGCTGGTACTGGTGCTGCCCGGGCCCGAGGGGAATGAGGAGCCCTTTTCCCCAGAGCTGGGAGAGGCGGCTCGGGCCGCCTTGGCCCGAGGGACCCCGCTGCTGGCTGTGCGGAACCTCATTCCCGGGGATTCACAGCAGGAGGCTCAAGCCCGCGATCGGACTGCGGCGCTGCTGGACAGCTCAGGGTTGGGAGCCGCGGCTCTCTTCGTGCTGCCGAAGGACTGCAGCCACAGTGACGACTGTGAGGAGCTAGAGCGCCTCAGGGCGGCGCTGCGGAGCCAGGCGGAGGCGCTGCGGAGGTGAGCCACCGGGTTCCAGGCTGGGTGGGGAGGCCTGGTCCCTGTAACCTAGACCCCATCCACTAAAAGGTTTTTTGACGTGCACAAGACGCTGCCTTCATGGAGCTTGAGTCACAACTTTACTAGCTATCTGCTGAAGCCCTCCCTGGTCCTTTGCCTAGATAGCCTGTTGGAGCAGATTTTGAGGTCAGAGAGGCTCCACCCCAAGCCAGAGCTCTGTATTTGACCATTGCCTGTTTAGGCTCCACCCCAGTTAAGGGTCATTTGCAAATCCTGACCTGTCCAGAAAGCTCTTACCTCTTGAGAGCCTTTTGAGGTCACAAGTGTGGCTCCCTACCAAGAATTCTAGGGAGAGGCCTGGACCTATCCTGCAAATACTGCCCACAGGGAAATTGTGGAGGACTCTATCCAGTCTCTTCAGGAATGTCTGTGACCCCAGAAAAGATTTCACATGAAGCTCCTGGAGACTTCCCTCTGGTCCTCACCCTCAGCTTGGTTTTCAACCCCAGTTGCCCTAAAGACAAACCCTCAGTGAGCTCGACTATTTCTGGTTTTTTGTTTTTGGTACCGGGGATCAAATTCAGGACCTTGCGCTTGCAACACTTGCAGCAGCAGAAGTCCGCTAAATCCCCGCCCTGTGTAACTATTTCTGGATGTCCTCCCCCACTTCTTTTCTCCATTCTCCTTTCACTTCCTTGCCCACTTGCTAGCTACCTCCTAAATCCTCCAACCCATAACTGTCTGTTGCCTTTTTGAAGTTTTTGTTTTTGTTTGTTGAAACAGGGTCTTGCTTGTAGTTCAGGCTGTCCTTAAACTCACTGTGTAGATCAGGCTGGCCTCGAGTTTATAGTAGTCCTCCTGCCTCAGAATCCCAAGTGCTGAGATTAAAGGTGTGCACCACCACGCCCAGTTTAAAGTTTTTAAAACAGGGTCTCACTATATAGCCCATGCTGGCCTCCAACTCATGGCGAACCTCCTGCCTCGGCCTCCCCAGTGCCGAGATTGCAGGTTTGTACCACCAGACTGCCACGTGCCTCACTTTATTTTTTTAGCTGCTTCATTTTATGGACATCAAAATGAGGTTCAGAGAGGGTTAGCCTCCCTTACAGCTTCACCTGCCCCTTGATCCCTTAGCCACACCTCCTTGGTAAAAACTAGTAGACGAGACTTCTCCCCTCATAGGCCTTCCTGAGGGCTAGCCTTAGGGAAGAACGCCCTTAGGGACCTCCTCAAGGTGCGCTCAGCATTCATTTAGGCCATAACACATCTGACATTCTGGCCTTGCTCTAAGCCTCTCTTTTTGTGAGGTCTGTCCTCCCAGGAATTGTATCCCGAAGTCTACTGGAGTGCTCCTCATCTTTGCCTCTGGTGGAAATCTGACCTCAAGTCAACCCACCTGGTCATCAAGGCCTGATTACTGTCCTAAGCCTCTTCCTTATCTTCATTAGCTCCACCACCACCACGAGGTTTCTGTATGTTTAGCTGTCAGTCTGGCCCCTTTCCTCCTCCTACCTCACCCTGAGATTATTCAGAAAGCTCTGAAGCCAGATGTGGTGGCACACACCTGTAATCCTATCACCCTGGGAGCTGAGGCAGGAGAATCGAAAGCAGTCACATGGACTGCATATCAGCTCAAAGCCACCCTGGAACATGGTGAGATCCTGAATTAAAACCAAGAGAAGGCTCTTCGAGGTCAGCCTGGCCCAGCCCTGGTTACTCTAGCCCAGCTTTCCCATGTTTTCTGATCTTCCACCCTTGATCTGTCTCTCCCTGTCCCCGCAGGCTCCTGCCTCCTGCTCAGGATGGTTTCGAGGTCCTGGGTGCCGCAGAACTGGAGGCTGTGCGTGAGGCCTTTGAGACCGGTGGCCTGGAGGCTGCGTTGTCGTGGGTGCGTGCAGGCCTGGAGCGCCTGGGCAGTGCACGGCTGGACCTAGCAGTGGCGGGCACAACTGATGTCAGCCTCGTGCTGGACACGCTGCTGGGGTTGGATCCTGGTGACCCAGGGGCCATACCTGCCTCCATGCCCACCGGGCCCACCCCGTGGCCGGCCCCGGAATGCCCCAATGTGGTGCTCTGGGCTGTGCCTTTGGGCTCCCCCGGCACGTCCTCTGGCGCCACCCCACACCCGACCCACTATGACGCCCTCATCCTGGTCACCCCCGGTCCCCCCACGGAAAAGGACTGGGCCCAGGTCCGCGCCTTGGTGTCACCAGACGTTCCTCTTGTCTGCGTGCGAACAGACTGTAAGGGCAAGGATCCCGAGTTTCTGGAGGAAGAGGAAAAGGTGGAGAATCCCAGAGGCCAGAGCTTGGGGAACACAGGCGAAGAAGGGACACTGGGAAAAATGCTCAGCGAGGAGGAGAGACGTGGCGCCGGATCGCAGAAAGCGGGCAGCCAGAGTTTGCTGCAGGTGGACGGCGCCAACACCCAGGGCAGCGGGAAGTCAGGACGCGCGGCCCCTCTGAGCCCGGAGGACGAGACGTGGGAGGTGCTGGAGGAGGCGCTGCCGCCAGTGTTCCCCTTGTGCCCCGGTGGGCTCCCGGGCCTATGCGAGTGGCTGCAGCGTGCGCTGCCTTCTGCCCAGGCTGGGGCGCTGCTGTTGGCGTTGCCACCCGCCTCGCCCAGCGCAGCCCGAAAGAAGGCAGCGGCACTGCGGGCGGGGGCGTGGAGGCCGGCCTTGCTGGCCAGCTTGGCAGCAGCGGCGGCCCCCGTACCCGGGCTGGGTTGGGCATGCGACGTGGCGCTTCTCCGCGGCCAGCTGGCGGAGTGGCGGCGGGCGCTGGGCCTTGAACCCGCAGTGCTGGCGCGACGGGAGCGCGCCCTGGGCTTGGCTCCTGGGGAGCTGGCTGCGCGTGCGCACTTCCCGGGCCCAGTGACACGCGCAGAGGTGGAAGCGAGACTGGGCGCCTGGGCGGGCGAGGGCACGGCTGGTGGCGCCGCCCTGGGCGCCCTCTCTTTCCTGTGGCCTGCGGGTGGCGCGGCGGCGACAGGCGGTCTGGGATACCGCGCCGCACATGGCGTCCTGCTGCAGGCTCTGGATGAGATGCGGGCAGACGCCGAGGCCGTGCTGGCACCCGGTGAGGCAGCACCGTGACGGGTGGGGTAGGATGGGGGCCTGGGCTTCCTGCTCCACTGAGGGCTGAGAACCCCAAGTCCTAGTTAGAGGGATGGGGGCTTGAAAGTCTGAGCCTGACACAAGGGTTGGGGGGATCTGCTACTGGGAATCTTTGCACTTGGGGGTACAGGCTCCAACTTCTGGTTGGGGTATGTGGAGTCCTGAAGGTGAGCAGAATGTGGGGGACGGGATTCCTGATTTTTCTGTGGACCGGCGAGTATACTGTCCAGACTCTCCTGGGGCTAGTAGGGGGCCCGGACTCCCGGAAGGGAGTACATCCCTGTCTCCAGCTGCAGTTACTGGACGTCTAGTCGTCCAGGGTAGACGGGTTAGAAGCCTTAATTCCTGAGGAGGTCCACAGCTGGGCTCCTGGACTGCACTATGCGAGTCTGGGTGCTCCAGGGAGCTAGAATCCTTGCACTTCCTGATCTGAAAAGGAAATGGCCTAAGATGGGCCTTTCCCCCAGGAAACCGGGGGCCAGTGAACTTTGAATCTTCATTGGGTGGGGGGTTGACTCGGGTTTCAGAGGACTGTGAACCTTGGTTGCTAATCCTTGGGTGGTGGGAAGTCTACATCTGGAGGAGGGAACAAAGGGCAGATGGGAGAGCCATGGACCACTGGGTCTCTTGGGAAGTGAGGATGTCTGATACTTGTCTGGGGATCTGGTGTAAGGAGAATGATCGTAACAGAAATGGCGAGAGGGCTAGAGGCCTGAACTTGGTGGGCCCTGAAGGTGGCTGGAGACCAGGAGGGAGACCTGCATGTGGAAGAGTAAGAACTTGCACTTCAGAGACATCTCCCACAGGTTCTCATACTTTATCCTGTACATCCTCAGAGGGCAGTTGCCTCTCTTTCCGTGAAGGGGAAGACTATGGGAAGGGGTGTGACTACTCCCATCTTATAGGTGCCGAGTAATGGAGAGGATCTTGGGTGTGTTTCCCACCTTTAGGGTGTGCTTTTGTTTTTGTTTTGTCTTTGGTTTCTTCTGTCATTATAATAAGTTTAACCTATTTTGCCTTGTGTTTTGTGCACCTGCCTTTTGGGAGAAGCAGCTGGGCTGTCCTGCTGTGCTAGTCCAGACATCTTGGTGTGGCCTCCCGGAGAGGCTGTGGTCTGGTGTACGCAAAGGATGTGTCTTCGGGCAGGGTTCCCCCAGAATGGCTGGGCAGGCATTGCAGACTGTGGGAACAAACGTGAACTTGCCAGGCAGGAGTGAGGCAAAGGCAGAAACCACAGTGCCTGCAAGTTACAGGATTTTTCCTTGTCAAAACAGGAAAAAGGGAACCAATAGATGAGAGCAAGCCTAGAGAGAGCAGGCCAGAGGTGCAACAGCACAAAGCAAGGCTCCGTGTGGTCTGGTCCCTGCCTCTTCTCAGTCTCTGCCCCATCCCAGCCCCAACCAGGCTGAGAGATCTTTTTCATGTTTGAATAGGCCACAGTGGGTCCTGCCTCAGGACCCTTGCACTTGCTGTTTTTTTCCTGAAGTGTGGTGCCCCCCTATCTTCCCATGATTGGCTCCTTATTCGTAAGGTCTCCACTCAAATGTTCTCTCAGAGAGGTCCTCCGCGTTCACTCTAACTGAAGTAGCTTGTACACCCCCATTTCTGATCCTGGCCAGTTGATTCTTTTAAAGAAAATATTACTATAAAAATGATCTTATTTATTTATTTGCCCATTTATTGGCTGTTGTTCCTTTGCCTGTCATGTTCCCTGGTGCAGAACCAGCACAGAACAGTGCCTGACACCCCGGAGGTGCTTAGTAAATGAGTGTTATTTTCATTCATTGATCAGTGGCAGAACTAAGGCTGGTATTTAGATTGTTGCCCTCTTGCCATAGAAAGGAAAAAGGAACAAGAGCAGGAGAACTGAGCATTTAATGGAAGAGAACATTCCCGTTTGAGGTCAGGGCACTTAGGATCCAAGTGTGGTTTTATCACTGTCATTCTGTGTCACATGGGCCGGTGCTTTATTTTCCCATCTCCCGAATGAAAGGGCTGGACCAGAACCATAAATACTTCCTGAAAGGGTCGCCAAAAGGAAGGGGCACACATATGTTCAAGCCAGCTTTATTGGGGTGGCAGTCTGCAGCCTGCCGGGACTGACTCACAAAATGGAGACCAGCAGTCTCATGGGCTGAGCTGGAGGCTTATATAGGGTTTTTGCATGTGGGAGAGCACGTAGTCCTTTGATGGGGGTGGGTGACTCCAGTTAGGGCATATAGCAACAAATTCTGGCTGGGGACTGAGAAACAGGCCCCAGGAAGTCTCTATCTCATGGGAGTATCTGGTGGGATGAAGAGACAAGCTCCTGGAAGTCTCTGTCTTGCGGGGGGGGGGGGGCGCGTGGGACGGAGTGACAAGCTCTAGGAGGTCCCTATCTTAAGGGAACATTTGGTCAGGAAACCAGAGGGGCAGAAAAGCCCCTAACTGGGTAGGAGGTCATTAACTAGGAGGGGTCAAGCCTTAGTTGTGTAGAAAGTTCCTGTTGGCCTTTAGGGAGGAGGACTGGGAGAAAGGGGAGGGAGCTGGTTCTGTGGGGGCTTTGGAATACCTAACACTTCCGAGATCCTATTTTCCTTGACAGCTGAGGGCAAGGTTCCTGGTCCTAGGGGCAGATAGTTGGGGAGTGGTACCCCCATCTGCAGTTTGAACTTTCACCTCCAGCACAGTTTGTCCCCTCAAAGTCGAGATGGCCATGATGGGGAAAGCATTTGACGCTGTACTGAATGGCTGCTGAGCTCGTGCAGCCCTAGAGGAAGGGGATTCACTTGCACCAGCAGCATCCAGCATCCCTCCTTGTTTCCCCCACTGTGCCCACTGTGTGGCGCCGGGGCCCTTAGTTAAGCATGAGAAAGCAGCTGTCCAACAGAAACATGTCACTTTAAACGTCCTGGTAGCCATAGCAAAAGAGTAAACAGCTGAAACTCACTGTAATATGTCATTTAACCCAGGATCCCCCCAATATTATCATTTCAACATATAATCAGTATTTTAAAGATAATTGAGATCTTTTACATTCTTTTGTGCTAAGTTTTCAAAATTTGATAGGTACTTTACCCCCTTACAGCACATCTCAATTCAGAGACTAAATTGTCACTGGAAGTGCTGGACTTGTATTTACTTTTCATACAATTTATAATAAGAGAAGTAGATTCACTTACCAAAGTTGTCCCAGTGATATTGACTAGTTTATCAGTCATGGAGATGTGAATTAAAAGCAAAACAAAATTCAGCTTCTCAGTTGCACTGGCCACATTTCAAGTACTACTCTGTAGCCACAAGTATTGAGCAGTCCAGACTTAGAACATTTCTCTAATGAGAAGAAACCCTATTAGCATAGCTCTAGAGTCAGGCAGTCCTACTGACTTTGGAGATGATCTTGGGCAGTGAATGGCATCTACCTCACGCACTGTGAGAATCCACTGTGTGTGCAATCTCACATACATGCACACACTAAGGACAGACTATAGCCCTCCTGGGAAGTCAGCCCCACTGAGCGCTCAAACATTAGTCTTGTTGCCCCTGCCCACACCCTCAGCCTTGGCCAGCACTGGGATGACTCTGGTCTGGGCATCTTCTGTTGACCCCATGCCTTTACTCACACTGCCCTCTTTTTCTGCCACTCTGCCACACCAATTTGGTCCTGCCTGACCTCTGCTGTATGCGTTGCTGCTGTATTTCCCTCTGCCCTCCTGCCTCAGAAATCAGGCCAATCAGATCATATCAGTGGAAGCAAGACAATTTTGTTTGTGTGTACATGTCTGTGCCCATTGAGGAGTGCTAGTTGTATTTATATAGTTGTATATTGGCACCATTGGGTTTCACAACTACTCTCTGGGGTGGTTGTATTTTACATGATGACTTTTGATGGAATTCAACTTTAGGTTTTGTGGAATCATAAAGTTGTGAGGGAGGCATCTGTCTCTGGGAGCATCAAAGCAGAAAAAAACTCAAACTCCCTTGTGGACAGATGACTGGCTGCCATCAGGGTGTGTCCATGTGACGGCTCAGGGCAAGAATCCCAGGAAATGTGTGACTCCTGGTGTCCCGTTACCAGACACAGAACAGACCCAAAAATGTGAGTGAAGCACGCTTATCACCATAGCAGAATTTTGTACATTTCTGGGTAATGATGGAGGGACTTGTGTCTGTAATAATGGAGAACAAAGAAGGACAAACCAAGGTTTGGATAGCCTATGGTGTTTTTTTTGAAGAATAAATAAAAATGAATAGAAATCTTGTTGTGTATTGTTTGGGGTTTGAAGGGAAGAAAGGATGCTTGGGATTTTTGGCTGAGCTGACAGCCTGGACTCTTGGGGCTGAGGGTGGTGACTCTTGATCCTGGAAGAGGAGGGCTGGTGGGGAATCTGCCAGGAAGGAATTCCTTGGGCTAGGATCAGGAGACTATCCGTTGTATCTGAGTTTTGCCATCCTGGGACTGGGGAGGCGTGGGCTTGGTCACTGTTAGCAACTTGAGGATTTGTTATGGTCAAGCACCTTACATCTGGAACCAGTGTGAACCATGAATGGCCCGGTTTGTTTTGCATCTCTGCAGCGAGGCCCTTGGATCGTCCTCCTCATTCTCACTCTAGACTTTGGCCACTGGGACAACAGAAGACATGATGTAAACAGAGGCTTGGAAGTGCTTGTCCATTGGGACTTCCTCTTTGGCTGTCCTTGGGACCACTGCCACATTGAGAAGCCCAGGCTAACTTGCTCAGTGATAAAGGGACACGTAGCCCAGTTACCCTTGGTACCCCAAGCCACAGCCCACCAACCCTCTGAAACAGCTGCCCAGCTAGCAGCTGAAACAGCAGAAGCAGCACCCAGCTGGTCCCAAACCAAGCTGCCGACACAGAATCATGCACTAAATAAAAGGCAATTCCTCCGGACTAAGTTTAATAAAGTGAAAATCACTGATAGTGATTTCTTGCCTGTCTGTGATGTGGGGGTCTCTTTCTGCCTCCAGCATGAGCCAGAGATTAAAATCTTCAACTCCTTCCTTGAGTCTCAGATCCATCTCTTGAAAACAAGGATGAGGACAATAGTGCCTATCACACAGCTGTCCTGGAGCTAAAGCAAGAAACATCCCATAACTGGAAGTGTTGGTACATGCCTGTAATCCCTCAGAGGCTGAGGCAGGATGATTGGAAGTTCAAGCCCAGCCTAGGCAACTTATTATTAAGACCTATGTAAAAATAAAAGGGAGATATAGCTCAGTATGAAGGGTTCTGGGCCTTTTTTTTTTTTTGAGACAGCAGCTCACTATCAGAATTGAGGCTGGCCTCCAGCTTGCTGCAGTCCTCCTGCCTCAGCCTCCCATAAGCTGGGATTATAGGGTACACCACCATGCCCGGCAATTCTGAGCCTCTTAGAAGCCACGGTTGGTGGTCATGGTGTTTATGAAGCATGCCTTGATCTCAGCCTTCTGATCCAGGGGCAGAATTGTACTTCCCGGCCTCCATGTGCTTTGGGTAAGGCCAAGTGACCTGGCTCCATCTAGTGAGTTGACACTGTTAAGTCATTTCTGGGTCACAGCTTTTATAATCACATGAGAGACTCTCCTGGGCTCACTCCTTTGGCATAGAAATCAGTCATGTTGAAGTTGGTGGCTGCTCTATGACTCTAATGACCAGATGGTGCTAAATGAGTACTAGAGTGAAGGAAACATTAGCGTTTTGTGAATAAGCACTCAGCAAGTATCCACTCCTTTCCCTTCCTCGAGGGGGTACATACCTCCCTGCTCCACTGATTTTGGTTTGGCGGTGGGATTCACCCTAGTGGAATGTCAGAGTCCTAACCTCCTCAAGGGCCTTAAATATGCTTGACTTTCATGCTCCTGTGATTTGTGGTGAGAACATCTGCCAGGGACCCACGGATCCAGGAGACTGTGGAAGCACATGGAGGACACAGTTCCCCCAGCCAAACCGGCCAACACACAACTAGAAAAGGAACCACCCTTCCAGCCCACAAAACCTTAGAAACAGGACTGCTTGTCCTAAATCTCAGATTGGAGATGGCTTATTACGAGGCAGCATTTGATGACTCATCCAACTTTGTTGTTCTCAACCAGAGATTAGGGACTTGTTTGTTACTGTAGCACAATCTAGTCTGCCCTGACTGCTGCAATGGTTAGCACCTGCCCGCTAATGGCCACTCGGTAAGTGGTAGCTATTATGATGATTACTATTTATTCAGACTTTGTCTGCAGAGCCATCATTCGTTCTCTTCAGGGCGGCAGGCACTGGGCTGAGTAGTTCTCATGTTTCATTTACCTCTTCCCACAACCCGATGAGGTTGTAAGTATTGACATCCACATTCTGCAGAAATGCAAACCAAGGCAAACAGAGGGAGAGGTTAATCAGGAGAGCTGATCAAGGACTCTGGTGTGATGGACTGAGGTTCAAATCGGGGTTCAGATTCTTCCTAGCTGACCCAAGGCCAGTGATACTCTGGATCCGCCTCAGTTTGTTAGTCCATAAAGTGGGATAATAATGTCAGTTTTATAGAGTTGTTGTTATTGTAAAATGAGGTGTAGCAAGGAAAGCCTTAGCACAGGGCCTGGCAACTAGTGTCCCTCTGTAAAAGGCAGGGTCTTCCCTCCCTTCCTTGAAAAGAGGGGGTTAGGAAAGAAGGCTGAGGCCTGAACCCCCTGCATGCCATCCCCCCAAGATGTACTGTGTCACAAGGACTCAGGCTTGCTCTGTTAACTTTAATTTATAAGCACATGGTGGGCTGCAGGCTGAGGACAAATGGGCATCTCAGGCCACACATATTCCTTGGTCCTTCACTCAGCCCTGCCATAGGGCAAGGAGGCTTCATGGCAGTCGGCCCGGTTGAGAAAGTAGTAGTAGGAGGCTGAGGGCACCTCAGCCCCAGGCTTGGCGTGGCAGGCACTCTTCGTGGCACAGCCCCGAGTGGCAAACTTGGCACTGATGATTCCTAGGAGGAAGATATCAGGCTGGAGTCAGCCCTTTGTTCTGCATAACTCAGGAGCTCCGCCCCTCCCACCTCCTCCCCCATTTCTCTGGAGCCCACTCCTCCCCTAGAACAGAATACTTTGGGCCTCCAGCCCTGGGACCCCTGTCCTTTCTTTCAGAGCTAGGCACCACTCACCAGCCTTTGCTCTGCCTGCCAAGTAGACGCAGTGTGTTTCCTGGCCAACACACTGGGCTAGCTCGGTCGCCACGCATGTATCCCGGAAGGGCACCACGCAGGAGGGGCATGACAGGCCATTCACAGTGCGATTGTACTGGGGAGCTGGGCATGCGGTGAAGTGTAAGGAGGGTTGGAGATTTAAGCCCTGATCCCAACCTCCCCCAGACCCTGGGGCACACCAGGCTTGCTAATGGACATTGCTTCTTACAGGTAAGGAAACAGGCTCAGAACCAGCCAGGCCTTTGGGGTGGGGCTGCCTTAGCAGGGCTGAGCTGGCACTTACGGGGCACGGAGCCACTGTTGCAGCCATCCCTCTGGCAACAATGCGTGTTCGTCACCATGTAGTTATTGGGTCCCATGGTGGTGGACACATAGCCTGAGTGGCAGTCTCTGGACTTCATGCAGGTCTTGACGGTGCTCACATAAGGGCCCTCTGTGGAGTGGGAGTAGGAACTGAGGGCAGATGGTGCTGGCTCACTGCTAACTTAGTATTTCCTAAGTCTGCACCTCCCCAGCCTTGCAACTCCTTTAGGTGGTCTTTTCCAGTGCCTTAACGGTATACTCCCTAATCTGCCTGCTCTTGAGTGGTTTATTACGTAGCCCTCCTTCCTGTACCATGAAGTCTGGTGGGCCTTTGGTCGTCTCCCTGTGGTTCTCATAGCCAACACCCAAGTGCCTACTGGATGCAGTCCCTTCTACCCACTTCACTCCACCCCACCCCACCCTACCAGACTTCTCTGGAGTCTTACAAGGTGCCTATGGCCACCCCTGTTCCCGTGTAAAAGTGGTCTCTTCCAGCCTTCAAGACTTTGCCTTTCAGTCTCCTCCAACAAATCCTACGTTGTACCCCCTCACTCTATTCCTCTCTCCTGGATTCTTCCATGGCCAGTCCCTAGACCTTCCATCAATGGGGTCTTGTTGGCCCTCTTGGCTATCTCCTCTGAGGTAGTCTCTTCCGGTCACCGCATCCCCCCCCATGTAGTGGTCTTTTCCAACCCAGTTCCGAGGTTTCCCCTCTTTACGCCACCTAGGCACTTCTCCTCGAAGGACTCTTCCAGCCTTCAAGCCTTTCAGGTCTCTCCTTCACCTGCTGACCATGTGTCACTGTCTTCTATCCCATCTTCCTTTCACACACTCCCCTCATGTCCTCATGGTTTCTTCCTGCTGTCAGAGTTGACCTTCATGGTCACTCCCTCAACCTGGTCAGGGGATTTTTCTGGGGCTCGTGGTCTCTTTCAGCTGTGAGTTAACGTCCTACACATACACATACACACACACACACACACACACACACACACACACACACACACACACTCCCCGCCCCATCCCGCGCGGAGATCTCCTCCATTGCTCCCTTTTGCCCCATGCTTTCTGAGGTCTGAGGTAGGCTCTTTCATTTAAATTATGTCCCCCCACACACTTCCATTTCACTCATTGACCTCCCCACGGCTATCTATCTTCTCTTATCTATCTATCTATCTATCTATCTATCTATCTATCTATCTATCTATCTGAGACAGGATCTTCCTATTTAGTTCAGGCTGGCCTTGAGCTCACTATGTAACCCAGGCTGGCCTTAAACTTGCAGTAATCTCCTGCCTCAGTTGCCCCAGTGCTGGCGTTACAGGCGTGTACCATCACACCTGGCCATTATTATTATTATTGGCAGTACTCAGGATTGTGCTCAGGACCTTCACATTGAATGGCATCCATAGCCTTTTTAAATTTTGAGACAAGGTCTCACTAAGTCGCTAAATTGTCCAGGCTGGGCTCGAACTTGGATCCTCTTGCCTCAGCCTCCCAGAGTGCTGGGATTACAAGTGTGGGCCACCTTCTACTTCCCTTTATGAAGATTTGCTCCATACTTCGGGGTTACCTTCCCTCTCCTGTCTGGAGTGCTTGCTTTTGTCTTTTCTCCTACCCCAACATCATCTGTGTTCCTTCAGGAAAGGTCTCTTCCCTGATCACATTCCCCAATCCCAGCGCAGCCCAGCGCGGCCTCTTTTTTCTACCCATCTACCTCTTGTCTGTTGGATTCTTCCCTCTCACTATTTTTCTGTTCTTCCACATCTGTTCCTCACTCCACACCCTATCTTTCTCTTCCCTGCTGAGTTTCCATGTTTCACCTATCCTGAGAACCGTGAGGACATCCTCCCCGTCTTCAAGCCTTAACCTCCGCCCTACTTTCCCCCGCCCCCCGCCCATCCCCCCCGCCCATCCCCCCATCCCCCCCCGCCTTCCACCCCCTCCTTGGGCCTGAAGCCACACCCTCCTACTTTCGTGGGACTCGCTCACGATAATCACACACGTGTCCTTGCCGTCCTCGCACTGCCTCATTTTCCCGCTGCATGTTTTCTCTGGGCCATTACACACTTCGCAGGTTAGACTGCACCCTGAAGCGCAGAGGAGGAGGCTGGAGTTACTGCTGTGGTCTTCAGACCATGAATTCAACACTGGAGTTCAGAAGGGTGGGGGACCCCGGCGTGGTGCTGCACACACACCCCTAATCCCAACCCTCAGGAGGCTGAAGCCGGAGGATCATCGCCAGTTTGAGACCAGCCTGAGCTATGTAGTGAGTTCAAGGCCAGCCTGAAATACAATACATAGCAAAACAAAAACAAAAAGGGTAGGGTAAAGGGACTTTCGCCTCTTGAGGGAGGAGGAACCAGTGTCACACTGGTTTTTCATGGGGGGGGGGCATTGATTACTGCCCAAGGAACTATCTGGAGTCTGACAAGAAAGCCTGGATGATGTCAGCAAAGTGGCTTCCAGGGGTGGGAAGTGACTCTACCCTGGAGCCTGTTCACCTAATTACAAGGCTGGGGACTTTGGGCACCAGGGTCCTCTGAGCCAGCTCAGGGGCAGGGAGAGGTCGTGGCAAAGGTTTCTGTGGAGTTCTGTGAAATTTCAGGTCAGGCTGGTTCTTGGGTGTTGGGTGAGGAAATTTACTCCTTGCAGGTGCTGCATAGGCTTTCTCAGACTGGGTCTGCCATGTATTCTAGGCTGGCCTTGAAGTCACTATATAGTCCAGGGCTGACCTGGAACGTGTGGCAATCCTCCTGCCTCAGCCTCCCGAGTCCTGGGATTACCATGCCTGGCTTAAGCCTTGTTTTTTTTGGGGGGGGTACCAGATATTGAACTCAGGACCTTGTGCTTGTGAGGCAGGTGTGGTGCCACTGAGCTATCCCCAGCCCGAGCCTTGTTGATACTAGGAGCTCAGGCAGAGGTACAGGAGGCTGGGGTCTGCATCTCAAATCAAGGAGAAAAAGTGTGGTTCGGGGCTGAATTCTTGGTCCTGAGAGAGGAGACAACTAGAGGCCTGGACACCTGAGTACTAGGAAGAGCAAAACTGCCTGGACTCTTGCATCTCCAGGTAGGCGGAGGAAGGGCCTGGGTGCCTGAACTACTGAATCTAGAGAGAAAAGAAATCTTTCCACCCTTTGAAAGATTAATTGACTTTAAAAGATTTCCTTTTCTAATCAAGCTCTCATCTGATCTCCTAGAACTGAACTGTTTTATTTTGGGACCCTGCCTATGAGACAGAGGATTCAGAACCCACCAACCCCCCTCTCTCATAGATCCAATCAAGTAGTTCTTCCCCTGGACCCCAGGCTTTCTCGTTCTGACCCTTTGACTTCTTTGTGAATCTCAACTCCTCCTTTGCCTCTTTAGGACCTTGCTGAATGCTCTCTCACAGTCTTCCTACATTCCAGGAAGCCACCCAGGTCCCTTGACACTTACCAAGCCCCACAAGGGTGCAGAGCAGCGTGAAGGCCAGCAGCAGGAAGGTGTCCTGTCTCGTGGATAGCTCCATGGTATGTGAACCTGGAGTCCTGGGGCCTCGGCCCTTATAAAAAGCTGGGGAGGGGCGGGCCTGGACCCACCTTCACCGTGGGGTGAAAAATAGCTGAGGTCAGAATCCAGAGCAGTCTTCCGCAGCCTCCGGGTACCAGCATCCAAAAGGAAGCTAAACATCTTGTGCCCAGCCTCCTCTGCCACCGGGATCCCAAAAGTCGAGACTTGCAGGCCCCTCTTCCTTGAGGGCTCCAAAGGTTACTGTCTTGTTTTCTGACATTCCCACCCCAATCCAGGTTGGGCCACTCGATTCCCTGCAGGTGTAGAGCGGCTGTGAAGACTGGGATCCCCTCTCCTCTGTCTTTCCAAGGAGGCGCCTAGCGTGGGTGGGGTCCTACTTGGGAGCACCCAGCATGTCCAAACTCGTCCTGCGGGGGCTGGTGGCCTTCTCGCCCTTCCCTTCTTCAAATGCTTGACTCATACTCCCTCTTCTGTGTTTAAGCTGTTACAGCCCGAACCCCATCCAGGGCTGCGTCTCTGCGTCTCCAGGGGACCGAATAGAAGGGTTCCCGTCGGTGGCCAGAGGCAGGCGTAGTAAGAAACAAGGGTCTGAAGGTCGTATATTGGTGAACTGAGGCATTTTGGAAGCACTTCAGGCTCTGTGTGTGTGTATGTGGTTCGGGAATATGCTTTGTTTTGGGGGTTTTTTGGTACTGTGGACTAAACTCGGGACCTTGCGCTTGCGAGGCAGGCAGCAGAACCACTGAGCTAAATCCCCAGCCCCGTTTTGTTTTATTAATGGACCTTCCTCCGCCCCCGGCCTCAAAGGGCTGAGAGAGATGAGATTTCTCTCGTGTGTGTTTAGGGAGAAGGGGAGAAGTTTGTAGGCACAAGAGGTAGACGGAGATCCTGTTTTAGTAGGATCCAGGCTCCCTGAGAAAATCCACTCTGATATCTCTTTCCGGGATTGTTTGGGCGGTGACTACATCGTCCAATGAGAACAACGAATTTCTTCTGGGCTCCAATCCACAAGGCCATCTCGTTGCTAGGCACCCAGAAAACATTGTAAAATCACAGGAAGGCTGGCTAGAGTGGTGGAATCTGAGAGGCGGGGCCAAAGGAAAAGCTCGTTGCTAGGGAACGCAGCGCCTCTCTCCGGAGAGGATCGACTGCGCTTGCGCTGAGTCGACGCGAGCGCTGCGCGCCGCAGTTTGAAAGGCCCGAGCCTTGCGCGCTTGCGCACTTAAACCCGCGCAGGGAAGCACCCCTTCCCCGCCCCCCAAACCGGACCCTTCCTCAGCCTCCAGTCTAGGTGAAGCTCACGGCTTTGACATGCCGGAGATTCGCCTTCGCCACGTCGTGTCTTGCAGCAGCCAGGACTCGGTGAGGGACTGGCGTGGGGGAGGTTGGCAGACGTGAGAGAATAAATAAAGGGGGCTCCGTAAGAACTTTTGGTGTATAAAAGAGAACTTCATGGAAGCCCAAGGAGGGTCATGGGGGGGATTTCCAGAAGCTAAATGTGGATCTTGGAGGAGATGTGGTATTGGGGAACTTTTGGGTTTCTGTGGAACTTCCGAAGAGAAAAGCAGGAATAGGGGAGCCCGTAGGAAACTTCCAGGGAAGTACTGTGGAGGAAATTTGAGGCAGGGTGTGGGGGGATTGACAGGGGAACTTAAATCTGGGGGATCGCAGAGGGCAGGAGGACCCCAAGGAGTTGTCTGAAAACTGGGGGCCTAGCTCTCATCTCTGCCTTAACTCTCCTTTTCAACTTTTGTCCTCAGACCCATTGTGCAGAAAACCTTCTCAAGGCAGATACTTACCGGAAATGGCGGGCAGCCAAGGCCGGCGAGAAGTCCATCTCTGTGGTCTTACAGGTGATCCTACCCACCCCCTCCCTCCTCCTTTCTAGGGTTGTGGAATCCCAGGGTCCAGATTCTGCTGAGCCAAATGGCAGTGGACTGAGTCACATCCCCCTTTGACCCTCAGCTTCCTTGCTTGGAAAGCAGGCTGCATAATCCCTTCAACAGAGGAGACAGGAGACCGGAAGACTATGCGTGGTCTGTAGCCCTGGGTAGGTTGCTTCTACCCTCTGGGCCTCAGCTTCCTCATCTGGAACAGAATGAACTATTTGCTGTGTATCCAGCTTCCTAGACTCAGTGGGCTCAGGGAGGGAAGTTGTCCAGAAGATTATCTGAACAAATCAACTTCGTTTTAGAGGTGGAGAAATAGAGGCACTGGGGCAGGGGAATGAAGTAGCCAGTCTAAGCTACCGTTTCTGGAGTGTTGGCTGGCTTCTTTCTAAGAGCCTTTTGTGCATATTTTCACCAACTCCATACCGGGCCCTGTGGATTGGGAGGGGAGCAAATAGGAAAGGGAGGCTTGATCTGAGATGGTTGTAGTATTCTGAATAGATCATTCCTATCACAGATAAGAGAGCTAATGCATTTTTAAAAATCTGCCCATTGTCAGGTGATATCCTGGATGTTTTACCTCAGAGGTGTGATATGAGGGCTGTCACCACTAATAAATGATAGTGCTAAGACTTGAGTTCACAACTGAATGTGGTGCTTTTGACCACTTAATCATCCTGCTTTGTGTTCACACAGCAGCATTTTTCCCCCCCAGCCCTAGGCATGGAACCCAGGGCCTTACACATGTTAAGCAAGCACTCAACCACTGAGCTATATTCCCAGCCTTTTAAAAATTTTTATTTTGAGACAGGGACTTGCTAAGTTGCCCAGGCTGACCCCAGATACTTGACCCTCTTGCCCCAGCCTCCTCAGTTGCTGGGATTGCAGGTGTACAGCACCATGCCCAGCTGTTTCGTTGTTGTTGTATAATTTTTATTAGTGCATGTTTGCAGTACATAATGATTACATTCATTGTGGGGAGTTGGTACACTGTACATAACACATCTTAGTTCTTTTTTGTTTTGTTGTTTAGTTTTTTTTCTCCCTATTGCTAGGGCTAGACATTGAGCCTAGGGCCTTATGCATGCTACTACCCAGCTGCACACTCCCAAGGCCACACACTGACTTTCTGAATGTTGACCATATTCCTTAGCTCTGATGGAGGGGTATTTGGGGACAGAAGTCAGTGGGATTGTGAGGGCAAGACTTACATGATTGTGTCTGATACTGAGCATATTCTTGGTCTCTCTTATGTTCAGGGGTTCTGAAAAATGTAGGTCACAGAGCCTTCTGAGAATTAACTGAGGATTCTCTTCTTAGAAATATATAGACTCATAAAATTATCTGACTGATTGTAGTTAAGTATCTCCTAAATCTCTAATAGAAGAATAATAACAAAAACTAACATTATTTAACATTACAAACTGACAATCACCATTCTGAACACCTCACATGGTTTGATTAATTGAATCCTTATAAAAACTTTATGACCTAGGATCTGTTATTTATCTTCATTTTATAGATGAGAAAACTGAAGCCCACAGAAATTACACAATTTACCTGAAAGCCATTCTTTTAAACTGTGGGAGATCCAGACTGCAGAGGATTTAGTTTTGGGAACTGGATTCAAACCCCAGCTCTTCTTCATACTCTGTGACCTCAGGCACATTTTTTCATTTCTCTAAACCCAGTCTCATCTGTACATTGGGGGATGAATCTAAGCCCGGGTTGGTTGTAAAAATCCGGTGACATAATGTCTGCAGAAATGCTCTGTCAACACGGAGGTGTTTGTATAAAGGGAGGGATTTGTAATTTTATTATGGGTGATGCTGGGTTCTCATTCAGGTGACCCCAGAGAAATGACATTCAGTTTTAGCCTGGCTGAAGGTAGAGCAAAGAGACTGGAGGAAGAAGAGGCAGAACATGGAGAGGGGGGAGCCAGAGGGGCAAGGAACAGGATCCTCTGACCTGAAGAAGTATTGTAGCTGTCACCAAAACAGGAAACCCTGAGTGGGAGCAGCTTGAGAAGGTGATGCATTTTGGTCGTGATGTCCAGCTTTGATGTAACTTTGAGGTAGCAATCAGGAGGCAATTAGGAGTCAGATGTAGAGTCGGAGATAGAGATGTAGAAGCTGCCAACATAGAGGCAGGAATTTGCACTAGAGAGTAGGTGGTTTCACTTGTTTTTTCATTCACTCATTCATTCAGCAAGTATTGATTAAGTGTCTTTCATATTCCATGTTCTGTGTGAGGTTCTGGGCCCATACAGCACGAGATAAATAGTACTCAGTCCTGTGGAGCTGTCACGGTATTAGGGAAAGACCAACAGACATAACATAGTGTGGCTAGGAGTTTTTATTTAAATAGGGAAGTCAAGGAAAGGCACCCTGAGAAAGTGACATTTGACCAAGGTGAGCTATGCATACATCTGGGAGCCACTCTAGAGAAGGCTATGCCCCACACATTGGAGGAACAATAAGGAACCCTGTATGGCCAGGGCGGGGTCAGCCAAGGTGAGAGAGGTAGGAGAGGAGCTTTCTGGGAAGCCATTGTGAAGACTTTTACGTGGGTGAGACGAGCCACTTGAGGCTCTGAGCAGAGAGGAGGGATTCGATCCGACTTGATCTTCACACGATCTTTCAGGTTCCATGTGGAGAGGATAAACTGCAGGGACCTAGCACAGAAGTGGGGAGCTCAGCACTGCAGCAGTTGGTGACTTTGTTCATAGCGGAGACCCTCTGGGAAATCCAGTTGTGTCTGGCAATGACCAACATGCAAGGCAACTCCACATTCACCCAGTGCTAATTTTAGGCTTCTCTGATGAGAAATATCTGGACACTAAGACAGTAGGCTCCCTTGTGAGTTTTCCTACTACCTTGTATTTTCTCCAAACACTGTTTTGCAACGTCTTGTAAATTGCCACATGGGGTTCAGCCCACTGCTCATGACAGCCCCATACTTTTTTTGTTTGCAGTAGCCACAGGAAGCCCTGTAACCAACCCATCACCTGCTCCCAGGCAGGGAGTTCAACCTCTTTGCCAACCACTCCTGGCCCAGAGGGGATGGCTGGGACGCAGTCCAGGTGGAACCTCTGTGCGTCACTGCAGGTGCTTTCTTTCTTTTTTTTTTTTTTTTTTGGTACTGGGGATCGAACTCAGGTCCTTGCCCTTGCACAGCAGGCGGTGAAACCACTGAGCTAAATCTCCGGCCCATGTAGGTGCTTTCTTTAGAAGCAGTGTTCAACAGCTCAGTCTCTGAATTGTCATCTTCCTCTTCTTTGTAACCATCTTCATCACCCCCTAGACAGAAAAGTTGTCCTCTCCATAGGCATCAGACACCCAGATACCGATCCACTTCTCTTCAGCTGCTCAGCTGACAGCTTCAACCACAGCTTCACCATTAGACTTAGGCTCTGAATCTTCCACGTAAACTGCCAGAGTCAAATAACTTTACTTTGTAAGAAAGAAAATCTCTTTTTCTTCTGATCTCTGCCTGCTCCCACCCCTACTCCTGCTACCCAGTGCCTAACTCCTGAGGCAACTGCTATGAGCAGCTCATTGTGTGGCCTTTCTGGCTCATTTTGTACACATACAAGTGTGTATAAAAAAATCAAAATACATGGTATCTATACTGTTCTCCCCATAACAGTTTGTCATGGAAATCTGCCATCACCATATACAGTTCTCCGTCAGTCTTCTAAGTGATGTGTGACTTTGCATTCATGCATGTGCAAGTTTTTTTGTTTTTTGTTTTTGGTACTGGGGATTGAACTCGGGTCCTTGCACCTGCGTAGCAGGGGGTGAAACCACTGAGCTAAATCCCTGGCCCAATGTGCAAGTTTTTTCACACGGTATCTGTCAGGGGCTTTGCCAACCTTCTGTGTCCCATTTGACTCACTCACGCATTGCGTCTTCCCAACAAAGGCTCACAAATGTGGGCCACAGATGACACCCCATCCTGAGCCCGTGTCTTGAGAGGTAACTCATGGAGAACACACTTCTTTTCTGAGATGAACATCACAACAAAATTCACTCCATGCATGTAAGCAGTGCAAACCAGTGCTTGGTACTTACACTGCCTGTGTTCTGCAACCATCTCCACTCTCACCTAGTGTTTTCATCACTCCCAAAAGACACCTCAGAACCAGTAACAGTCGCTTCCTACTCCCCACCCCCACGTTGCTCTTGGCAACCACTGCTCTTCTTTCTGTGCCTTTGCCTGCTTTGGACATTTCATATAAATGTATATGTGGACTTTTGTATATGCTTTGTTTTACTTAGCATATGTATTTTGTTTTTGTTTTTTTGGTACTGGGGATCAAACTTAGGACCTCAAGCTTGCCACTGAGCTACATCCCCGGCCCTAGCATAATGCTTTTGAGGTTCATTGATAGTAGACCATTTATCAGTGCAGCTTCTTTCTTTTTTCTTTTGGTGCTGGGATCGAATTTAAGGTCTTCATGCATACTGAGCATAGTCTCTACTGCTGAGCTGCACCCTGGCCCCTCATTTGTCGGGGAGCGGTGAGAAAGGATCTTGCTATGTATGTAGTCCAGGCTGATCTTAACTTATTATGTAGCCCAGGCTGGCCTTGAATTCATGGTAATCTTCCTGCCTCAGCTTACCCAGTGCTAGGATTACAGGTGTGCTCCATCATGCCCAGCTCTCCAGAATCTTCTATTGTTTTGAGACAGGATCTCACTAATTTGCCCAGCCTGGGTTCAAACTTGTGATCCTTCTGCCTCAGCCTCCTAGAGTGCTGGGATTCCAAGTGTGCACCACCATCCCCGGCTCACAGACTGTTTTTGACATTGGTACACAGCCCGAACGGCTCATACATTGTCCCTCCTCTCATGCGGCTTAAAAGTTGAGTAGGGGGAGACAAATACTAGACAAATACAAATATGTATTTATAGACTACCAAGCACTGCCAATGAAGAGCAACACACCTGTTAGGGATAGAGTAGCAGGTAGGAGGTGAGGATCCTCTGTACTCATCTCTGGAGAGGTAGCATCTGAGCAGAGACCCAAAGACAGGCACTGGCAATGGTAATGGGAAGGTATAGGGAAGAGGGGGTAGTGGAGCAGCAGAGCAGCCCCAGGGTTGGATTGGAGTCAGGCACAGCTCGAACAGAGGGATCTGGCCGCAGTCGTCTGTGGGGCTCATCCTCGGGAAGGCCCTCCCCTTGCCACCACCATCGCTCCTGCCACTGCCTCTGCCACCTCCAGCGGGCAGTGCTGGGTGCAGGAGTGCATGCTCTAACCAGCCTGGCCGGTCCCCTTGGGCTTTGCCTGCACAACAAAGTACAGTGACATAAGCACTTCCTGCCTGCCGCTGCTCATGTACGACCTGGAGATAATTATAGTACCTGCCTCCCAGGGTTGCTATGAACAGGGCAGATGCCTGTCTGGTACATTGTGAGCTCCCAGATGCCGGCTGCTGTTGCTATTCTGGGTCATCTCAACTCCCTGCAGAAGGAGGGTGAATAGGATGACCCTCCCCTTTCATGTATGAGGAAACTGCCCCTCAGAGACCCTGGATACAGTTTGGAAATGGTAGGGCTAGATTTCGACCCAGACCCACCTCAGCCTGAGTCCAGGTTTCTTCCTGTGCAGCCATGTATGTCACACTGGGCTGGTAGTATCTTGGTGTCCTCCTGAGTGGGAGGTGATAGAGCAGATAGGACCAGCAGATGGTCCCTTGAGGCAGGGGAGGGCAGTGTAAGGTGCTGGATCGGGCACCTTTGAGGGTTGTAATAACCTGTCACTCCAGGATCCTAATAAAAAAAGCCCCAAAGTGGGAGATAGGAGCCTCGCCTCAGCCTTTCCTGACTCCCCTGCGTGCATGCACACCTTTCTGTACCTTCAACTGTCAGGCAGATCCTTTTGCAGAACCCTTTGTACAGAAAGTGCTTTCTCCAGCATCCTGGAGGAGTGGTGGATCTGGAGGCAGGGTCAGGGTGGACAGATTCACACAGGGAACATCCTGCTCCACGTCGTAGCATGTGCTGTGTGCTAGGGACATGGTTCCTGCTGACACACAGGTGACATTCCAGGGAAGATGGTGGCCCAGATGGGGTTCGTCCCTCCTTCGGTCCCTGCCCTACAGTCAGCCCAAGGCCACAGCAGGCACTGATGGTGACCTTTGTGTGCCCACAGCTGGAGAAGGAGGAGCAGATCCACAGCGTGGACATTGGGAACAATGGCTCGGCCTTCGTAGAGGTGCTGGTGGGCAGCTCGGCCGGCGGGGCTGGTGAGCAAGACTATGAGGTAAGCAGGGCAGTGAGACGCTGACCTCCACCCCAGATGTCCCCATGGCTGTTCCCTAGGGGTCCACTTTGTGAAAATACCACACTCTCTTTCTTCATCTGTCCATGGACATACAGTCTGCTTCCAGGGTTTAGCTGTTACGAATTGTGCTGCTACCTACATGGGTATACATGTGTCACTGTAATGTGATGTCTTTAACTGTTTCAGGAAGAGACCTAGAAGGGGAATAGGTGGCTTGAACAGAATTTCTTTTAGTTTTTTGAGGATTTTCCATAGTGGCTGTACTAGTTTACCCTCCCACCAACAATGTAGAAAAAGGTTCCTTTTTCCCCCTGCAGTCTCACCAGCATTTGTTATTTGATTTCTTCATGATAGTCATTCTTTTTAGAATAAGATAGAATCTCATTGTTTTTTTTCTTTTCTTTTTTGGTATGGGGATCAAACTTGGGACCTTGCACTTGTGAGGCAGGCAGCAGAACCACTGAGCTAAATCCCAGGCCCTTTTTTTCCTTTCTTTTTTTTGAGACAGGATCTCACTATGTAGTTCAGGCTGGCCTTGAGCTTGTAGCAATCCTCCTGCCTCAGCCTCCACAATGCTGGGATTATAGGTATGCATCACTATACCACACTCAACTTCAGTGTCATTTTGTTGTTGTTGTTGTTGTTTTTTGGTACCAGGGATAAATCCCCAGCCCCAGTGTTCTTTTAATTTGCATTTCTCTAATGGCCAGAGATGTTGAACATTTTTAATGTATTTATTGGCCATTTATATATCTTCTGAGAAGTGTCTATTCATTTAGTTGCCCATTTTTTGATTGGGCCTTTTATTTTTGGGAGGGGCTTTAATTTTTTTGAAATGTTTATATATTCTAGATGTTAGTTCTCTGTTGGAGGAATAGCTGGCAAAATTTTTTCCCATTCTTTAGGTTGTCTTTTCACTCTATTGGTTGCTTCATTTGCTATGCAGAGCTTTTTAATTTGATATGATCTCATTTGGTGATTGTGTCATTTCATGTGTAATTGGGGTTCTGTTCAGAAAGTCTTTGCCTTTGCCTCTGTCATCAAGAGTTTTATCTATTTTTTCTTTCAGCAGATTGTTTCTGTTGTAACATTTATTTTATTTTATTTTATTTTTTTTGGTACCAGGGATTGAACTTGGGTCCTTGAGCTTGCGAGGCAGGGGGCGGAACCACTGAGCTAAACCCCCGACCCTGTTGTAACATTTAGATCTTTGATCCATTTTGATTTTAGTTTAGTACACAGTGAGAGATATGGGTCTAGATTCAGTCTTCTGCATGTGGATAGCCAGTTTCCCAGCACCATTTTATTGAAAGCTGTGCAAACTTCCAACCACCTGACCAAGGGTCCAGTGACAGGATAACAAAAGACAAGACGAAATATTTTCTGTGTAAAGGGGGCCCAGGATGGTCAGAGCTCTTACCAGGCTAAGACGCTGTCTCCTGGAGCTTGCCACTATTTATTGAACACACGGTGTCTTGAAGGGGTAATGGGCGGTGCAGGAGACAGTGGAGTGGAGAGCACTGAGGCGAGCGAGGTCCTAGCAACAAGGGGACGAGACATTCTAGCAGGAGCAGATCATTGATTAATGGGAAATTTGTTTTTTCCCATAGATTCTCTTGGCTGTTGTACATCCTTTGTGTTTATTTTCATATAAAGTATCAAACCAGCTTGTCAATGACTTTGTGGATTGACTGATTGATTGATTAGCTTCAGGCCTACAGAAAAGTTGCAAAGGTGGTCCAAGGAACTTCCGTATTCGCTCAGATTGCCAATGTTAATACATGTTCATGTTTTCCTGAAGTGAGAGTAAGTTGTATACATCATGCCTCTTTATTTCTGCATACTCTCCTGACTTTTTCCAAAAAACAAAGACATTTTCTAACTAATACAATTGTCAAAATTAAGAAATTAACATTGATATAATAATGTGTCATCTCAGGCCTTTTTCAAGATTTCCTTCTTTGTTCCAATAATGTTCTTTTCTTTCTCTCTCTCTCTCTCTCTCTTTTTTCAGTGGTGCTAGAGATGGAACCTGCAACCTTCATACTGAGCTACATTCCCAGCCCTTTTTGAGACCAGGTCTCACGGAGTTGCCTAGGCTGTGTGGGGGTTTGCAGTCCTTCTGCCTCAGCCTCCCAGAGTGCTGGGATTGCAGGCCTGCATCACCATACTTGGCTAGCAATAATGTTCTTTATTGCAAAAGATTTTACAGTGCTGCATTGCGTTGATTTATCACATTTCCTTAGTTTTCTTTTGCCAGAAACAGTTCCTGCCACTTTGTTTCATGCCTTGATGCTTTTGAAGAGCATAGGCCAGTGATTTTTGTTAAATATCATTCATTGGACAAAATGTCTGGTGTTTCCTTATAATTAAATTTAGGTTACACCCTTTTGACCTGAATACCACAGAAGTGAGGTTATATTCTTCTCAGTGCAATTTACAATTGATTTTTGTGTATTGACTTTGTATCTTGTGACTTTGCTAAGTTTAGCAGTTTTTGTTTTGTTTTGCAGTACTGGGGATTGAACCCAGGCTCTTTGGACTAAGATACAGACATTCCCAGTCAGTTATTTTTTATATTTAGAGACAAGGTCTTGATAAGTTGCCCGATCTGGGCTTGAATTTGTGATCCTCCTGCCTCAGCCTCCAAGTGTGTGCCACAAATGCCTGGTCACCTACTAATTATGGCAGTTTGTGTAGATCCCTTGGGATTTTCTGCAGAGACAGTCGTGCCATCTGTGAATAAAGACAGTTTTCTTCCTTTCCAGTCTGTATATTTCTTTTTAATTTTTCTTACCCTGTCACACTGACTGATTCCTCTTATGCAGTGTTGGAGCAGCAAAAGCCACACACTTGGCTGGCTTCTGTTACTGGGGTAGGGAGTTGAGTCTTTTAGTATTAAATATGACATTAGCTCTAGTCTTTTTTTTATAGGTGTCCTTTGTCAGGCCGAGAAAGTTCCTGTCTGTTACTAGTTTGTTGAGAACTTTCATCCTGAGCACATGTTGAATTTCCTCAAGTGCTTTTTATGTTCTGTAAGGAATGTTTTACCAAATGAGGTTTCCAGTAACAAACATTTTTATTCTCAAGATGATGTATGTTAACAGTCCTTGCGACTATCACGAAAAAGTTCTGTGCTTCTCTTGGAACACAGATGTAGATCAGAATTCTACTTAATAATGACAAAAGTGGATCATTGCACTTCAGCTAAAATGTTATCATGTCTGGTGTGTGAATATTTACCAGCCTTTGCTTGCTGATCTAGCAAGAAGGAATGGCTCCGGCAGTGTTTAGTGTTCCCGAGGTCTGAGAACACCTAGGCCAACAGTGTCTTGCTGCTTCAAGATTTTTAATGAAACTTCTGCTTGGGTCTCAGATTTCTGTTACAATTTCCAGCCATAACTGAACTGAAGACTTTGGGGCTCACACATTGCTTGGTTTCTGCCCCTGAGAAACTGGAAGAACCAAGAAGGAAAAGGGAAAAGGGCAATGGAGGGGTGATCAAGATTGATGTCACCTACAATTTGAACTCGAGGGACATACTAGCAGGTACCAACACCGCTTTCTACAAAATCAGCACATTCTTTCTTCCCTTATCCAAACTGTACATAAAGGACTCACAGGATTTGGAGTTAGGGCAGACAAGAGATTGAGGCTTGAGTTTTGAACATGTAAAGGCAGCCTGGTTTTCCCTTTAAGTGAATGGCAGAAGATGTTCAGAGGAAATGTGCCTCTTAGTGCAAGTAGTAAGTGCCAGCCCAGTTCGCATTTCCCTTCATTTTGTCCCCAGATAAAAAATTTGGGGTCCCTGTCAGCTCAGAATCGGTAATAATAGGTAATTTTCTTTGCCTATTTTGTTTCCTTTTTACAATTAGAACTAGGCACAAAGACATATAGTTATCTTCTATAATTTTTTGATCAAGAGGCTTTTATTTTCTAATTTTGTCAATTTCTGGAGACATCCGCTGGAAAAGACTAGTAAGTAACAAAATACACCCAACTAGAAGTTGCTTACTGGATAAGGAAACAGATTTGTTCTCTCTTTAGGAAGGAAGTCTGGAATTAGGCAGACCTGGAGTTGATACAGAAGCTTAACAAGGGCGGGGGATTTAACTCAGTGGTTCCACTGCCTGCCTTGCAAGCACAAGGTCCTGAAAAAAAACCAAAAAAACCAAAAACGAGAGGCTGGGGATTTAGCTGAGCAGCACAGTGCCTCCCTGGCAAATTTGAGGTCTTGAGTTCAATCCCCAGTACTCAAAAAAAAAAAAAAAAAAGAGAAGAGATGAGGGTGGCAGAAGCTTAACAAAGATAAGGTGCTTAGTTGGCACCTCTTGATTCTTTTGGATATGGCCTCCTGGTCACAAGATGATTATTGCTGCTCCAAACATCAACATCACTCGGTAGCATTAGAGCAAGAAGTGGGGGGAGGAGGTGGGATGGCAGAAACGCCAGGGTCCTCTTTTTTTTTGTACCAGGGATGGAACTCAGGACCTTGCACTTGCAAGGCAGGCGCGGTGCCACTGAGCTAAATCCCCAGCCCATGGTCCTTTTCTTCTTTTCTCTTTAAGGGGGAAGGACAGTGTTTTCTAGAAGCCCCCAGCACACTTCCTCTCTATCTGATTGGCCAGAACTGGGTCATGGTCCAACCACTGGCAGAGTGATGGGTTGCTTGGACCAATTGTGGTTTATTCCTTTATATAAGCACATAGTTCTTCCATTCTTTCAAAACTGCTTGGTCAGTTTTGATTGTCATTTTGTTCCTTCATCATACTGTCACTATCTCCACTTAATTCTTTAATCTATTAAGCAAACTTATTTTTATATTGCATGACTTATAATTTGAATATGTGCATCTTTTGTGAGTCTGAGTCTGTAGTTTGCAGTTTTTGCCGAATCTAAGTCATGGCAGCTATGTCTTCGAAGGCATGTGTGTGTGTGCGTGTGTGTGTGTGTGTGTGTGTGTGTGTGTGTGTGT